CCTAAGAAACAGATTTACTGTGGATTAGAGAAGAGCCACTGTTACATCTACCCCTTATCTATAGTACTTTAATATATTTATAATACTATAGTTTAAACTCTTATAATAATATTTCTTTTAATATACTTATTCTATTTATTTTTAACTTAATTCTTTATAATCTAAATAATTAGTTAGTATAGAATATTATACTTTATAATCTTAAATCTATTTAAATTCTAATTATAATATTTATTTATTCTAATCTTAACCTTTAATAGTATAGTAGACTATAAATAACTTATTTAAACTATACTATACTTATTATCTTTATTTCTAAATAAGTAAAAGTATTAATACTTTATAATCTACTTTAAAAATAAACTAATAATTATTATTAAGAGGGTTACTATTAAGTTTTAATAATTTAATTTAAAGTATATATTTTTCTTTAATTATAAAATAATAATAATAATTAATAACTTATTTCTTTTACCTTTTTTATAATTATATTTATATATAATATACTTTACTTTCTTTAGTATAAATAGTTTAATTATTATTATAAGTTCTTTTATTTAATAGTAATTAAAGACATTTTAAGTTTTTATTTACTTTTTAACCCTTTTTAAAATCTTAATAGTATTATTATTATTAAATCTTTAATTAAAAGTTACTTGAATTAAAGTTAAATCTAAATAAATATTTTTAAGACTTTTTATATTAGTACTCTTTAAATTAAATTATTAAAGAAATAATCTTTAAAGAAAATAGTAAAAGATTATTCTTTTCTTTTAGTACTTATATTTTAATCTTATTTCTTTTAAGTACTTTTCTTTTCTTTTTAAATACCTTTTTCTTTTTTAAGCCTTTAGTTAATCCTTTTTTAACTTCTTTAGACTTTAAATCTATAAAAGACTCTTTTAAAATAATATTATATATTTCTATAAAAAAGACCTTTATAAATATAATTAGTACTTTATTATTATTATTAGAACTTTAAGTAAATAGTATTAGTTAAAGTAATTAAAGTTTTTTTACTTTAAAAAGAGTTAAATAATAGTTATTTTTTAAATAAAAGGAATTATATAAAAGTTCTAAAATAACTTATTAAAAAGAATTTTTATTCTTTTTAGTTTTTAGGTTTTATAAGAGGTTTAATAATCTCTATAGTTTATTTTTTAAATTTCTTATATTTCTTCTTTTTTTTAATAACCTTTTCTTTTCTTTATTTAATTTTAAATACTTTCTATTTTAATCTTATATTTTTAATACTACTTTTATTATTAATACTTTTTAATCTATATAATAGTTATACTATAATTATAAAACTATCCTTAAGTTCTATATTTTTTTTTCTTTTTTAAAATTAGGCTAATTTTATAGAATCTTTTATTTATCTAAAAATGTTTTTTTTATTTATTTTTTTTTCTTATTCTATTTTAAGTCTAAGTTTTTAGTATTACTTTCATTATTCTAATATTCTTTTAAATTTATACTTTAGTTTTTAAAGAAACTATTATTAAACCTTAAGATTAATGTTTATTATAACCTCTATTAGAATTAAAAGAAAATACTATTAAATAGTATAACTTTTAAAACCTAAGTTTTCTTTAAAGTAAAACTAAACAACCTAATAATAAACTAGTATTAATAAAAATATAAACGTTATTATTTTTATAGTAAACTACTAAAGGACCTTTAATTAAAGTAATATATTTTTAAAACGACTTATTTAATTTTAATTATTTAAAAAACTAATATAATTAGTAGTTTAAGTATTAATACGTATAATTTAATTTTTTAAAAAAATAGAATACTAAGTATTATAAAAGAATTAAACTACTAAATTAATTAGGGTTTATTTATTACTATAGGACTTATAAAAATTAAAAAATAAAAAAGAGTTATTTCTTTTTCTTTAATCCTTATCCTTAGAGATAAAGACTATTTAAATAATTAAACTAGCTAGATTTTCTTAAAGTTATTCTATAAGGTTTTTTATAATCTAGGGGAGGGGCGAAAGTCTTTAATACACTATTAGGAACTAATATAGAACTAACTACTTATAATAGTAGTAAGGGTTTTCCTCTATAGACTCTAGTTTTTCTATTACTATTAATCTTTTAAAGGTACTAGATAGGTAGACTAGTCTAATTAGTATAATATAATTAATTAACTACTAATAAACCTTAGACTACCTTAGGTGGGGCTACACTAGAAATCAGGAATACCTAGGGTTTTAATGTGAATAACAACGGCTGCGAATAATACCTACTGTAGGCTGTCCTCCTTGGCGCCGGACGCCCCAACCTCGGGGTTCTTGTCATTCCCGCACCTAAGCTTGTCGGTAAGCCGAACGAGGAAATCCTCGACGCGGTCTGGCCTATCATTAACAAAACCAACAAGACGGTCGATGCCTTTGGCCGCATCTCCAGGATCATGGTTCGGCTCTTGTCGCCAGACTGCTTGTACCCCCGGACCGACAAGGGCAGCATCATCCGCCAGGCCTTCTGCAAGACATTCAAAACCGAGACTGATGAAGCCCACGACGCTCAGGACACCGGCACAGGGTAATTGAACACGCTAGAGCTTCCACAGATGCGAGAATTCCTCCAAGGGTTGCTGGCCAACACTATCGCTTCAAGCCAGAAGAAAGTTGAGGACGATACCGATTTCTTTCTGCTGGGTCTCGACTCGCTGCAAGCAATCCAGATGCGTAGTGAGATCCTCAAGTCCGTAGAGCTTGGGGGTAGACATCTGGGCCAGAACATCGTTTTTGAGAACCCTTCGATCGAGAAGCTGGCTCCATTCCTGGCAGTCTGCGAAGGGGACAGGACGCGGCGTCGACCGCAGTCGAAAAGGAGATGCAGGCGTTGATCAACAAGTACGGGGACATCAGTGCAACAACAGCGTCTGCAGTCGTAAGCTTCGCCTTAGCCGCATAATAAGAATTAAGTTCATCCTTCCAGGTCGTTACTGGCGCAGCGGGTTCTCTCGGAGCCTACGACGTCAGCAAGCTTGCCTCTAACCCAGACATTGCCACCACCCTCTGCCTTGTCCGCGCACCCACCAAGTCCCAGGCTCTCTTCGCGTAAGGGAATCCCTTCTTCAACGTCGCATCTATCATTCTATGCCCCTTTCCTCCCCACGCAATATCGTCTCGCTTCCCTGCGACTTTTCACATCCCAAACTCAGCCTCTCCACCTAAGACTACCAGGTCCTCGCTCAAGACCTGCGTTGCGCGTCATACACTGCGCCTGGTCCGTAAACTGCAACATGCGCCTCTCTAGCTTCGAAAAGGCCGATATTGCTGGCGTCAACCACCTGCTCGCGCTGGTCAAGGCTTCCCCTACCAACGCCTCGATGAACTTTTGCTCCCCGGTCAGCACGTGCAGCCGTGGCACACAGAGCCCCGTGCCAGAATCTTTGCCTGATCTTGAATGGGCACAGGGCATGGGCTACGCGCAGTCCAAGTCGGTGGTGGAGCACGTGTGCGCCCGTGAGGCTGCGGCAGGGATCCAAACGAGAGTCCTTCGTGTCGGACAAATCGTGGGTGATACGAAGCACGGCGTATGGAACGCGCAGGAAGCGGTGCCGATGATGATGCAGACAGCGGTGACGATTGGAGCCTTGCCACGCCTCGTGGAGAGGCCTTCATGGTTGCCCGTCGACACGGTCGTCGAGGCAGTGGTGGACATCTCGCTCTCAGACCAGAAGTGTGATTTCAGAAACATCACACACCCCAAAACATTCAGCTAGACCGAGGATCTGCTTCCAGCGCTGCGCTCCACTGGTTTGTAATTCGATGAGGTGGAGCCAAAGGAGTGTGTGTCGCGACTGCGCGCGTCAAACCCGGATCCCAAAGCCAACCCGCCCATCAAGCTTGCCGACTTTTTTGCGTCAAAGTACGACAAACATGGGTTCGCCCCATCAAAGACTTTCAGTACAGATGTGGCAACGAGATTGGCGCCGGCGCTAGCGGACGCTCCTGTCCCCGAGCCGAGCTTCGTCAAGCTGTTTGTTAGGTACTTCCTCGACAACTGCTGGGGCTCGAAGAACGAGGAGGAGAAGGGTGCCAAGACAGTCGTCTTCATGGCCGGGCCCTGTGGAAGCGGCAAGACAACAGCGGGCACCAGCATCGCCAATTGGCTAGGCGTGCCCTTTATCGAAGGCGACGCTCTGCACACGTGCGCGGCCGTGGACAAGATGCGCACCCACACAACGCTCTCAGACGAAGACCGCGTGGGCTGGCTCGGTCGTATCTGCTCACGCGCGCGTGAGACGGTACACGAGCTCGACTACTCGGCAGCCATCGTCAGCTGCTCGGCGCTTAAGGCATCGTACCGCACGAGCATCCGAGAGAGCCTCGGCCGAGAAGGTGTCCGAGCGGTGTTCTTAGATCTCCAGGCAGACAGGGATGTGCTGGTGCAGAGGATGAAGGCCAGAAAGGAGCACTCTACGAGTTCGCAGATGGTTGATGGACAGCTCGAGGCATAGGAGGGTGCGTGCCAGGACGAAATAGACGTTCTGCCAGTGGATGCCGAGACAGAGGTGGTTGTTAAAGAGGTAAAATGGATGCTATCTAAGGTCATAGGCTTATCCGGAGGCGATTCCATATCTTGAGCGCCAGCGTTTAGAATTGCGCTTTTGAATGAAGTGAACCAGCATGACATCCCTGCTTTGCCAAGAATGATAAATGTCAAGCCAAGCCACATATTACTTAGCATACTGTGAATTATAATAAATTCCGTCACCTGATGTCTGTCAGACCTTGATCACGGCCTTTTAACTTGGACAAGTTCGTTGGTTTTAAATTCGTAGACAGGCGTAGTTGTTGGGTAACTTGTATGTAAGCTTGTAGGAGGGACTTGTCCTCCATGAACGGAACGCTAAGGCTTTCTTGGCCCGTAATAAATGGACTCCCGCTTTGCTGTTATCGATTAGTGGAAAGTGGAGCGCGTTTTACTTTTTTTCTGTTATCGCGCTTGTTCTTCAAGCCTCCAACTCTTGCTGGGCCATTATTGACCAGAGCGGCAGCCTGTATTGCACAAGTCGATAAAATGAAGCGCAAGATTGAAGACACAAACGAGCTGGCCGACGAGGCCAGGCGACCGCCCAGAGACGCCGACAAGAGCTTCTCCTTTACCGACCTCGCTCTCGATCCTCGTCTGGTGCAAGCCGTTGCCGAGCAAAAGTTTTCCCGGCCGACGCTGGTGCAGCGGATGGCCATCCCCATTGCTCTCAAAGGCCAGGATGTTCTCTGCAAGGCCAAGACTGGGTCTGGAAAGACTGCCGCATATGTTCTGCCCCTGCTAGCCGGAATCCTGAAGCGCAAGGCCGTAAGTTCGCTGGTAGGCCAGTCACTCTTCGCCCAATGCTAACTTGTCGACAGTGCGACCCCGACCCTGCCACCACCGCCCTTATCCTTGTACCCACACGCGAGCTGGCCGATCAAGTATTGAAAGCAATTGAGCAATTCTCGGCGTTTTGCTCGAATGATGTCCGCGCCGTCAAGCTCACCGATAAGCTGTCTGACGCCGTCCAGCGATCTCTGCTCGCTACACTGCCTGATATCGTCATTTCGACACCCGCGCGCGCGTGGCACAATGTCAATGGCAACTCATCCGCCTTGTCTCTGAGCAAACTTTTACATCTTGTCCTTGACGAGGCGGATTTGCTACTATCATACGGTTATGATAGCGACCTCGAGAATTTATCCTGGTCAATACCGAAGGGGATACAGACAATCATGATGAGCGCTACTTTGACGTCGGAAGTCGATTCGCTGAAAAAGATTTTCTATCGCGATAACGTGCCCGAATTGCTGGACTTGGAAGAGCCGGATAACGAGGGCGAGGGCATCACGCAGCTCGTGACCAAATGCGGAGAAGACGAAAAGTTCCTTTTGGCCTATGTCATATTCAAGCTCAAGCTCGTCAAGGGCAAATGCATCATATTCGTTGGCGACATCGACCGCTGCTACCGCCTGAAGCTCTTCTTCGAACAGTTTGGCATTCGCAGCTGTCTTCTGAACTCGGAGCTACCCGTCAACTCCCGAATCCACGTCGTAGAGGAGTTTAACAAGAACGTCTACGATATTATCATTGCATCTGACGAAAAGGAAATTTTGGGAAACGAAGATCAGGCTAAGGAGGAGGTCGAGGAGGCCGAGGAGGCCGCTGATGGTGACGACGCTGAGGAGGCGACGGGAGCAAGCGAGAAGCGGCCGAAGAAGAAGCGCAAGTCTGCAAAGCAGGATCTGGAATACGGCGTGTCGAGAGGCATCGACTTTAAGAATGTGGCGGCTGTCATCAACTTTGACCTGCCGACAAGCGCGTCATCCTATACACACCGCATCGGGAGAACAGCGCGGGCCGGAAAGGCAGGCATGGCGCTGTCGTTTGTGGTGCCCAAAGATCAGTACCGCAAGCACATTCCAACGACAATAGCCAGCGCGGAAAAGGACGAAAAGATTCTTGCGCGTATCACGAAGCAGCAAGCCAAGAAAGGCAAGGAGATCAAGCCATACAACTTTAACCCCGAGCAAGTGGAGGCGTTTCGGTACCGAATGAACGACGCGCTGCGAGCCGTAACCAAGGTAGCGGTGCGTGAAGCAAGAACAAGGGAGCTCCGACAAGAACTTCTCAAGAGCGAAAAGCTCAAGCGGTACGCATCTGCCTACACATTCATGACAAAACTTTATAGGCAATATTGGTGAAGAGAGGCTGACGTAGTGCAGATATTTTGAGGAGAACCCGACGGAGATGGCCCACCTGCGGCACGATGGTGAACTCCGGACGGCGCGGCAACAGGCGCACTTGAAACACATTCCGGAATACCTGCTGCCAAAGGAGGGCAAGGAGGCATTGACGGCAGACAAAATTGGTTTCGTGCCGCTGCGCAAGGTTGGCGGCAAGGATCGGAGAAGCAAGAGGGGCAAGTCGGGGAAGAGAATCGGGGCGCGCAAGGGAGACCCATTAAAGACATTTTCGGCGCGTAGAAGGAAGTGAGATTTGCAGGCTGACTGCGAGTATGTAATGAATGTACATAGAAATACGAGTTTTCGCAAAACATGACTGAGACGGCATCGGCGATTTGGAATGGATGTGACGCCCAAATACATGATCGACCTGGCTCCTATTGCTGAATAAGTCCAGGCGCATTCTACCTGGGACCAGGTATGTATGTAGGCGGGCTGAGGCTTCCCCGAGATGGGGCAGGTGACAGGGCCAAGTCTTTACACAGCATGGATCAGCGCTGCGTGTTATTAAAAGGGTCCATGGCAGAAAAAAAAGGTGACTTGGCTGGAGGCTGTAGTGTGGCCGCCGGGTCGCCATGTCTTTGCAGCTTGATTGGTGGAAAGAGGGACTCGAAGTGGCTGCCAGTCTACCAGAAGGTCCAGAGAGGGATGTACCGACTCTTTCGGATTGGGCCGTCCGAGGCTTCCCTGGTAATTCTTGGGCAATCCATGTTGCTCCGTACAGTTAGTTAGTTTTAATAGCCGTGAACTGGTAGGGATAGCGTTGACAAAGGTGCTTAATAAGTGACTCTCCTCGCCCAAGGCTCCTTTCGTATTTGGGCGGTGGACCCCTTGCGCCTTGCTGAGCCCGCAACATGCCCAGGCGCCAGCCAGAATCCATTATTACTCCCGTAATCCGTATTCTCTCGCCATCCAGACTTTTTACCCCCCCCCGAGTCAGATACTCCTCATACTCGCCCCCATCGCCGTCCCCTTTGGACATTACATTCGTTACACCAATATTGCGAGAGTCGGTATCCCCTCGAACCCATACCCGCAGATCTCTTTCACCACTCGGGGTTTTGAGTTCGCCCTTGACGTTTTGACAGGTGGGTCGCCAATGCCCTGAAAGTCTGTTCAGCGGGCTCTACCGGAGCAAACGCCCTTGCGCGCAACGGCCGCCCTTGCATGACGAGAGAAGCGACGAGGGAAAAAAGCACGCGAGAAGGAAACCAAGCCGCTGCTAATAGCGAATGCAACGCGGTGTTTGCGGCTTCGCACGGCCCGGTGTTTGAGGTTCAGCACTGCCCTTGCAGGCGAGGCGAAAAATGTCTCGGTTTCAAGCTAGAATGTACTGGCCGCTTCTCCATAAGAATCTCGCTGTCGCGTGCTCCTTTGATTCTCGCTATTTTTGTGATAAAGGTCATGCTTCCGGGGCGGTCCGACGAATTTCGTTTTGCGCCAGCAACATCCTCATGCTGGTGTTGCTGAAGAGACTCACTTCCTGACGGAACGTTGCTAACAAACTCTTACTAATTCATTAATGCACAGCGACCTCGAAAACGACGGTTACCCGACGCTGCAAGCCACAGCCCCGAAAAGTCTCTTTGTATACATTTTCTCGACACATACACATTCGTTTGGTAATAAGCGCCAGCCATGCTGCGTGCTGTGGTCGTCGCTCTCTTGGGCGCAACCTCCGCGTTCGCCCTCTGCGGCCCAGAGAACCCGTGCCCCCAGAGCGCACCATGTTGCTCCCGTGAGTATGCCAGAGAACTTGGGCCCTAAGTGGTGGCATTGACATTGGATAGAATACGGCGAATGTGGCGTCGGCGCCTACTGCCTCGGTGGATGCGATCCTCGAGGCTCCTTCAAGCTCGACGCCTGCGCTCCTGCGCCCGTTTGCACCAACAAGAAAATGAAATTTGACCAGATCGACAAGACCAGCGTCAACATCCTCAAGTACCTCGGCGACGCCAGCAAGGCCGACTGGATGGTGCAGGGTGAGGTGGTACAGTACAATGACTATACGCTCATGACCATGGCCAAGGACACACCCGGAACCGTTCTGGCATCCACCGAGTACATGTGGTACGGCAACGTCAAAGCCACCATGAAGACGAGTCGTGGCCGTGGCGTCGTCACTGCCTTTATCCTGCTCTCGGATGTCAAGGACGAGATTGACTACGAATGGGTTGGTGTCGACCTTGGCACCTCCCAGACAAACTACTACTTCCAAGGCATTACCGACTGTGAGTCGCAACCAATTGCAGCGTCTGCGCCGCCCTGCTAACAAGTATCAGACGGAAATTCGGGAAATATCTCCACCGACGACACTTTTGGCAGCTGGCACGAGTACGAAATTCGCTGGACACCGGACAAGATTGAGTGGCTGGTTGATGGTACCACCCACCGTACCAAGGAGCGCAAGGACACTTGGAATAAGACGGCCAATGCCTGGGCGTTCCCGCAGACTCCCGCCCGTATCCAGCTCTCCATCTGGCCCGGCGGCAAGGCTAGCAACCCAGCTGGCACCATTAACTGGGCTGGTGGTGTCATCTCGTGGGACCACCCCGACGTCAAGAACAACGGGTACTACTACGCCGCTGTCAAATCGGTCGAGATTGAGTGCTACGGCGCCAAGAGCGCCCCTGGAACCAACAATGGCAAGAGCTACATCTACACGGATGCCAAAGCCACCAACGACACTGTCAAGGACACGGACAAGGACAACATTCTGGGCTCGTTCGATGCCACTGGCCTTGACATGGGCGTGGGAAAATCGAACCCTGACAAGCCCAAGTCGACCCAAGCTTCCGTGCCTGGCGGCGGTATTCCGGGCAAGAACGATCACGGCGACGTTAATCCCGACGGTGGCAGCTCCGGGCAGGGAACCCCTCCCGCACAGGGCCTGGACCCGAAGACGTGCGACCCCAAGGTTTTTAACCAGGATTGCAGCACCACCACCGACGGCGATGGCAAGTCAAAAACCACGGGCAAGAGCTCTGGCTCGCAAACGCAGGCCAGCAGCGTCCTGGCGATGGTCATTGCGGGCGCCGCTCTGTTCTGGTTGTAATATGGCTTGACAGTTTGACCCGATATCTTTCTAAGGCGCTTGAGCTTTCATCTGTATATGTTTGGTGTGTGTTACATGGTTGGTGTCTGATCATGGCGTCAGTACTGTATCAGTTTCCAGGTGGTAACTGATGAATTGCAAATTGGTAATGGTAATATTATTATGGATATCCGTTCTTTGACTTTTTGTTTTCGTTTTTTTTTCTCTCCTTTTTTTTCTTGTTCTTGTCGTCGTTTTGCTTATTCACGGTTATTTGTCACGTTATACGCATGAACAGCGACTTTGACACAAGCATATAATTACTAGACAGTCAGAGACGATGACTTTGTCAAACACCACAAGTGTCCACGTCCCCCGCGTTGGCGAGGCTGCTGTGCCTGTCCGCCTGGTTTCGATCGTTGATGCGCGGAGCGTTGTCAGACGGCATCTATTTTCTTGTCAGTCATAACGCACTCGACCTGTTTGTTTATGGACACCGGAACGGTCTACGCAATAGTGCTTGCTGGACGGTCTCACTCCTCCGAACATATATAAGTGAATAATTAAGTAATTATAGTGTCAACACATTATAAACCGTCACTGGTCATCAGAGCCACAGCCTTTCTCATCCTCACCCACCAGCAGCCTACTTCCTCCTCCTCGCCGTCGCCAACTTGCCTCGCACCGGCACGTTTTCCTCCCTGCCCACCTCGGGCAAACCCTCCAACTCGACGCCCTTTTCAAAAACCAGACAGTGCGTGCTCCCTCCAAAGTGAAACATGCCCAGCTCGGCGCCCTTGTTGATATGCTGGCCCTCCTTGACCGTCACATCACACGTGCTCACCTCGTCCATGCCGATGCCCACAAACGCAACCAGGCCAAGCTCTTTATTATCCGCCTCGAGCACAATCACCGCGCGCGCCGCCATGCACGCCAGGTACCCCTGCGCGACGCTGATGCCGCCCGTATCAATCTCGGCGACGTCCGGGTCGCCGGGCCCTTCAAACAGCGGCTCGCTAAAGTACGTGCCGTCGAGAACAAAGGCGCGGCGCACGGTGCCAGAGACGGGACTGTTCCAGCGGTGGTAGGACAGCGCGGAGAGAAAGGCCTGGTAGACGGTGCCGCCGACGAAGGTGGCGGCGGAGGGGTCGTTGCCGAGCATGTCGAGGAGCGAATACCGCTGGCCCTTGGCGAAGAAGTGGTCGCGGAGGCGCACGTTGGCCTGGACGTTGAAGACTTTGGACTCGCAGGCGTTGGCGATGACGGCGTCGTCGTCGGCACTGGCGACGGGGCGGGCGTCATCGTGGACTCGTCGGGTGAAGAAGTCTGCGAGTTCCAGTGTCAGTCGTTCCCTCTTTGTAGCACTTCTTGGCCCACGAAGAAAACGCACCATCCCAGGACTTGTATCCCATATGCTTAGCCGTCGGCTGGCACACAAACATTTGCTCAAAGGTGTGGTTGGATTGGTATGGCGCGTTGGCGACCTGCACGAGGTCGTGTCGGCCCGTCTCGCCGAACCAGCCAGTAGCGTGGTCTCCCAGGACCGCTGCCGACTCGGGGGTCTGCCTCACGGGTGAGTATAAGGCACATTGCAGTCCAGACATACCGAACACCTCACCTGCAAGTACTTGCCCCATTCATTGAGGACCTTCTTCAACGCCCTATTCACATCCGGGTCCAAAAACGCCGCATGGCCACTACATCCCCACGTCATCAGTGCTATCTCAACCCGCCTGTCACTCACTCCATTGACTCACCTCGGCGTTCCCATCGGGTAGTCAAACACCGCACACATCGGCACGCCCACTACGCCCATCGCCGCCGCCGTCTGCGTCCACTCCGGCGCGCGCGTCACAATGTGGCCCAGCACGCGCAGCATGTGCTCGTAGTCGCGCACCTGCTTGTGTCCCGCCGGGTCGCGCAGGTACGGGGTCTTCTGCGGCACCTCGTCAAACATCTGCGTAAAGTACATGTACACCCGCGCATTGTTCTCAATCAAGTCCCGGAACTCGCGCAGCGCGGGGGTCAGCCCGTCGTCGGCGTCGGTCGCGGGACGGGCGTCGACGGCATCGATCACCTCGGACAGGTACTGCTGGTGGATGCGGTGGTCGGCAGGTAGCCACGCGCCAGGCCTAGAGAGGTTCGCGGTCAGCATGTTTCGTAAGCAAAACATCGGCGATATTTGTGTACTTGTGCCTCCGATACTCGGCGGGAATGTCGTGGTGGTCGCCGTGCTGATGAACCATAACTTAGTAGCTATTATACAAAAGGCAGACGCAAAGCTTCAAAGGTAAGTATGTAGTTTAGTAAAGTCGGTTTGTCTTTCAATTGGAAAGCAACTCTGACTTCGGATGCATTATTTTTTAAAAATCTTGGATACAATGCCGCGCTGCCGAATTATCCGGCATGAGATGCCGGGCTTGGCGTGGTGATGTTTGTATGACGTACATGACCATGACCATTCTTGGCCGCCTCAGTCGCCCAGGGTCCTCGCCTCGGCGGCGGCGGCGTTTCCGTCACTTGCGCAACACGGCGAGGTCAACTTCGGCACGCATCTCCATCGCCGTATCCCATATCCCACAGGTCATTCATCGATGCGTCCGCACGCTCCGTCTCTACCATGGCGCCAGGGGCAAAGGGGCAACGCGCAGGTTGGGTAGCACCACCCCTGGAGGTTATGGGTCCAGTTTGTGAATTTCGTGAGTACATCTTGGTCCGCCAGCCTTACTTCGTGAAAGAGTGACATCGGAAAAAGTCTTGTGATAATTTTCGCTGCTGTGTGCGTATCTCCTCTTGTGTGGTGTCTGCGATTGCTTCCTTGAAACATGCAGGATCATCTGTTGACCAGGCACATCCAGAACGGATTAACGCTCCCACGTGCCACAGAAGTCATGTAGCAGCACAGTTAACTTCTTTAATCAATCAACTCATTTTCTCTCGTTCCCATCATGTCCTTGAACCTGTTTCTATCATCATCACCCCCGCGCAGGCTCCCCTTGCAACGCGGCGGCAACTACTCAGCTGGCCGCTTAACCTGCCGGCTGGATAGGCCGGCCTGTCAAGGCTTCTCTGCTATTCCCCCGCTTCTTCATCTTTCTTCTGCAGGAGAGCGGCTGGTTCTGCAGCAATCCCTGCTCTTCTTTCCACTTTTTGTATTTTTCTTCCCTCTTCGAAAGACATTCTGTCACCTTTTCCAGGTCGCCGAACGGGAACACTCATTCCCATTGGCATGCCTTCGCGATCACGATGCACTTGTCCATCCTTGAATCGTCGCAGACCTGCACCCTGTCGACGCATTCGAGATGCACCGGCAACACCCCGTCGGGCTTCACCTCCGCCTTGCAGCGATCGGCCGCCGCCAAACAGGCAGTCTTGTCGTTCCCGGGACGCCCGCAGTGCTCCTCGACCTGCTGGTCCACGGGCATGGGCGACTGCGTTGAGTGCGAGGTCCAGCCGAGGTTTTCGTGATGCACGGCATGTACCGCGAGACCCTCACGTAGACCCCCAGGTGGAGAGACTCCTGCCCGTTGGACACGATGCCCATCAGCTGTCTCGTGTTGGGGTCGAAGAGAGGACCGCCGCTGTCCCCCAAGGCCGTGTCCTTGCCCTTTGCGCCGGCGCATATCGTGTCCTCGATTACGGCAAATTGGGCGCAGTCCTCGCCCGGGCGGATCGGAAGCTCAACCCGAGAAAGTCTGTCAGCCACGGGTACGTCAAAACTCTTGCCTAGGTCCGATCGATTAGCGCCTTTTAACTTTTCGGGTGCTTCTGGTGACGCGTCTTCTCATTTCCAGAGGCCACTTACTAGCCTGCGGCTATCGCGGTGGAATTAGCTTCGAGGTCCCCGTCATCCTTTGATGGCGTCGCGAAGCGGATGTTGTCGGTCTCTCCAATGGGCGTCAAAAGTTTAAAGATGGCAATGTCATTGATAGCGAAGCGTTCCTGAGGACTCTTTCGGCGACTATACTCCGGGTGCTTTATGATGGCTGCTACCGCTGCAATCACTCCGCCAGATTGCTGGTCCTCTAGATTTATTAGTCTCGGGGCCCGCTTCCCAGCATTTGAAGCCTTATCCGCCGCGCTCTCAAATGCTACCCATCTGGTAGGCAAGGAGCAGACTTGATGAGATGGGGAACATGGAGTGGGCTTACCAGAGTTCCTGCTCTGACCGAGTACTTTCAGGCACCCCTAGGTTCCATTGCATAGGCGCAGTGAGCAGCAGTGACGACGGTGGTGTTGTCGAGCAAGGTGCCTCCGCAAATGTGAGAACCTGCATTCTGGAACTGCATTCTGGATGCTGACAATGGATGGAAGCTCGCCAGGCTCAGCGTCCATCCCGCCAACGATTCTCTTTTCAACAGCTCCTGCTGCTGCCGAAAGAGCACATAATGCTACGGTTAATGTATGGAAAGCCTACGCACCATAGCGAAGGCGGCACGACTAGGCAGTGCCGTATACGTTATTTATCGTAGGTAGTTTCAATTTCACCGCTTTATATACCCGCGATGTTTACTGTATTTATACTTGACATCTAGCGGTATATGAGCGCTTTCGTAATATACGGGCGAATCATGACGGACGCCAGCGCGTCAGAAGCATATGCGTACATCTACTGAATTAATACGCGCGCCCCGGTAACAACTAGTCATTGAAACTAGTCAGCGCTCTTATAAGCACCTCGGCCGTAAAAAACGGAGGTAAATCATCAAGGATACTCACATAGTGGATGAGGCACTGTTCCACTGTGATGCCTCATGGCATCGGAATGCTGGGTTCCGTATTGCCTGACTGGGGCGCACCAATAAACCGGCGTTCCCACCTGGCCTTATCTTTGCTCATCTTCCTCAATCAAATAAGCATCAGGACAGATTAGTATTGGTTTACTGCTCCTTATTTTAGACATTGTTTGCCCATTCAGGTCTGCTGAACCATCATCGACATCAACAGCGGCGGCAGAAGCGGCGGCAACGTAGCAGCGGCCCTCGAGCAAACATGCAGAACTGTAGCTGCCCAGCGTATAGTTTTATTACATTTCAAGTATAGCACCATAACAAGAACGCCAAGGAAACTTGCCGTATATATTAGTTACAGTCAAGATTCGTTTCTGGGTATTCTGAAAACATCAATCACATCTGGCGCCGTCATCACGTTTGGCGCCGTCGTCATCATTAGTAAGTTCGCTTCCTAAGTGTCCTGCCCTGCGTCGCAGCAGCCGGTTGCTGCTCACCCACAGGCTGGCCCATCATACGGCTCATAAGTTGGGCCTTGCGCTTCTGTGCGTCTGGATCGCCATACTCTAGTTGCGTTGCTGGTGGCTGCCGTTCCTCGTCGAGGCCCTCCTCTGTTTCGACGGCAGACGCTGATCGGAGCAGTTCAGGCGCCGGTCCGCTGCCGCTGCTGGCGTTGGACGCATTGCTAATAGCGCGGCCGAGAATTTGGCGCTTATTTCGCCGGCCAGGTGCTGGGCCGGCCGTGCCTACTGCTAGGCCAGCAGTCGTCGGGCCATCTAACAGGTTCGTAATCTCGGATGCAAGCCGCTGTTTCTCTGTAGTGTTGGGAAGAGCTGTTCCTTGGGACTTATTAAGCTCCTCTCGACTTTTACCGCCATCGTAGCTTTTGCTATGCTGAGTTATGGGTGGAGCAGATGGTGCTCTGGTCGTGACTTGCTTTTTGTTTTCGACTTTGCCAACGGGATCAGACCTGTGTCGCGGGAGCTGTTCTGCCGCAGTTTCAGTTGGCGATGGCGACTTGTTCACTGACGCTGATGACAGTTCTGACAGTGGAGTGCCGTGTCGACGACCCGTCTCTGGGCAGGAAACTGCCGAGACGAAATCCGCTGTTGTTGATTCCTCATAACGCGTGCTCCTCGTCTTGCTTGTCCCTTTCTTAGGGTTCTCTTCTTTAAATGCGGTGGGATCCATTCCCGCTGCGCCTGGTGCGCGTATTGTATCGGGATGTGCCCTCAACTTCGGCTCTTTTGAAGAGCTGGCGTTCCACCAACTTGTAGTCGAGTATCGTGACTTCAGTTGGGGGAAAATGTAATCTGTAGGCGGTACGTTGAAGCCAGTATTGATACAATCCCACAGCCACTCTGCCGACACAATTGGTACGCCCCATTCCAAGGCATATCGCAACTTGTCTTTGCGCATGGCATCAAGGGAACGGCAGACTAAGAGGCTAGTGTTTTTCTGGAACTGCTCCTCAAAGGTTGCGCCCAACTGTTTTATACTTCGCGCAACCTGGTTAAGCTCCAGCCCAGTGAACGCGGAGCTGCAAATAGATAAGGAGCTAAAGCCAGGGATGGGAAACGAAGGGAATGGGCGTCCTAAGACGTGGTCTTGTGGATGGAGGAATTGCTTATTGTGTAGACACCGTTCAACAAAAAATTCCGTAATAACGTGCAAGTCGTTATGCTGTATCGTTGGATGTGTATCGGGCTGTGAGTTTTGAGGAACAACCAGGAAGCGCCAAGACGGGTTGTCGACGGTTCCCGACACGGCAGCTTCCTCGATAGTTGGCACAATAGTACCGCCAAGGGACTGCAATGTTTGGTGCAACAGGTCCGCCTGTTGGAAACTGAACCCGTGGATAAAAAATACGCAGTTGGTAAATACGCCATCGGGTTGCACATCATCTGGCTGAACTGGTGTTGCTTTTTCTGGTACAGATGGTCGCGCCTCTATGGGGCCTTCATTGAAAGAGTATTCCTTCGAGTCGGAACGCCCAAGGATATTCTCCCAGAGGTTATTTCGCTGGGAGTTGAGTTTCTGACTGGCGGTCTTGCGCAACTTTCGAACGCCGTCTTCGCCCGTTGTCGTTGAGCCGGATGATCTAGACCGCTTGCCAAAAGCCGCGGCGCTCTTTTTCACCCAAGCATCCTTGCCTTGCTCCTCATCTGGGAGTAGCGGGTCGAACTTGGACTCGTCCAGAATCATGCCGCGCTCAATGCTCTGGTCAAGCCATGGCAGTGTCACAGTACGAACTCCCCAGGCTTTAGCTGCCTTGAACTTTTTACCGTTGGGGGTGCCGACAATAAGATGGGTGCACTTTCTAGTCAAGTCGCCGGTATACTGCGCTCCATTGGCTCGTATTCGTTTGGAAATCTGCTCGCGCTGCGGGTCGCCAAAGCCAGTCAGGCATATGAGGAGGGAGGTTTGTTCTGGGGTCAGCTCGCCTTGCGGTTGGTGGCTGCATCTCTCCAGTGGTCGCAACTTGTATTCGTCTTCGAGTGCTTGCAAATTTATTTCTTCGTCCAACTTCCATAAATGCGAAATACGATCGATCCATGCAGCGTGCATGGGCTTGATATTAGGTCGTTGGCGAGCAACATGCCGGTACTTTGGCGTGTCATAGTGACCAACGATGAGATGTGTGATGTCCGGCGTCAGGTCGTACTTATGAACTCCTCCTAGCTCGGCAACCTTTTGGTGGATTTCACTCTAGAAGAAGAAGAGGAAGAAGTTAACATGGGAAATGTGAAGAAGGATGCGGGAGCTCCCTCCATACTCGCTGTTCAACGGGAATGCTTGTGCAGCAAACAACGATGCCGCGTAGAGGCTGTGTTGGGTCTATCGAGTAGCCATCATCGGCAGAAGTTTCGCGGAACATGTCGTGAAGTCAGCCAGGCTGTTTCCTTGCAGCGCCGGGGCCGTTGAAGGGTCGATAAAGCGATAAAGTTGGGTGCGACAGCGCGAGCTGGTGGACGCGTTTAAGAAGAATGGCCCCACACTGAAGCTGGTAGGTAACTAACAAAGTAAGGACTATACGAAGTATAGTCCTTGGAGAAACAAACACCTCCCCCACATACCCCTCTACAACACTTGCACCATCTTTGTCCGATTCAACCGTATCACCGCGACAAGTCCTCTTGCTACTCACCACTTTGCTCATCTGCGACGCGCTTCAAGCCCCCCCCCCCAGCTTGACTGTATACCCTATTCTTTACAGGGCTTTGGCTGTGGCGCCACCCCGCCTAAAAGCCACTCTAACGCTCTGTTCTTGCGTTTCCCGCGTTTGCTCCTATAACGACCACGCGCGCGCTCGTTGCTCTCTCTGTGGACATTCTGCCTTGTCCAACCAGAGATCGCCTGTCCAGCGACTGATTCTGACCGATCCAACCCCGAACCAATACATACGGCCGAGCCCAGCTCTGCCATCGCTGAAATGGCTTCAGCAGCTCCCAGTGCTGCGCGACTCCGAGACATGGTTCTTGAGTTCACCAGCTTCACGGGCGCTACGGAGAGAGTTGCTGCTAAGGTATAGACAACTCCGGAACCCGCTTTGTCACTTGGTTGTATCTCGCGAGCTTAGCTTGCTATTTACTCTCAATGAAAACCGAATGGCGCGGCGCGGCACCACGAAACCTTGAATGCTGCTTGCTAACTGGATTACCACAGTTCATCAAAGCATCGAACTATGCGGTTAACGAAGCTGTAGACGAGTGAGTGCTGTTCTATTTTCTTCAAGACAAAGCCCCAACCCAGGCTCGCTCGCCCTTGTACTGTCGCATTCGCATTTGCCCTGGCCATTCATCATACACGTGGTGCGTCTGGTCCGGCAAACAATACGACGGGCGGCGCTCGAAGCAATCGCAACTGTCACATCCGTGCTGCAGCTCTGGCATCACATACGGATACCTAGGTGCGCCAATCTATCTCCACAGCGCAGGCGTGGACGTTACAATAGTGCTGGACCTGCGAGTACACTTGACACCACTGGATCAATGTCGCACGCCGCTGGTGGAGTGTTACTAAACGTATCCCAAAATACGGCCGAGCACTGCCCGACAGCTTGAAACATTGCACGATGCCGATCTATCGCTTGTCCATCAATACATTTATATTCTGCCCTTCTCCCCCATGTTCCATTTCGCATCTCATTTTCTACCATCCGAAAGACACCAAAATACGGCCTCGTTGTATTCGCCGCCACCCCACCTCTCTGTTTCAGGCTTCGTCAACTGCACTCCGGAATAATGGGTTTGAAAGGAGTGCGGCGTCAAATCCACTGCAAATTTCAAGCGTTGCTTCCATCAGGCCAAAAACTGCCACAGAGTAGTTCTCATGACGTCGCGTCCGACAAGGATTCTCGGTACAGCCCTCAATGCATCCGATGTGGCATACTATCCCATTCTACAATACGTCCAAGCGGGCGCGAAATCTTGCCTACTCTCCTAAGATCGCATCAACATTGAGGTAACATCTACTAACATGCGAAATAGATACTTTCATCAAAAGGACACGGGTGCTCTTCCCGCACCTACATCCGCAGCAGCTCTCGTTGCCCAGTTAAATTCCATGTTTGATGATTTACGAGGTAGTTGCCGTGGAACATCTTCTAGGCCATTCTGCTAACCATTCATTTCTAGACCCCGATGCGGACCCTAAGAATTGCATAGAGCTGACGTCAACCCTTAATTATCTCAAACATGAGCTTAAGATAAACGTGGAAAATGCCGAGCTCATGGTCGTCCTGGAGCTCCTCCAGGCGCCCAGTATCGGTGAAATTACGCGAGAGGGCTATGTACAAGGATGGACGGATAGTGGGCAAGTCCTGTAGTACTTTCCATTTGCTCCTATGCTAACTTTACAAGCGTCAAACCGTCAATCAAGGAGCACGCCAGTTACGTTCTCCGGCTAAACAAGGCACTGGGCAAAGACGCAGTTCTTTTCAGAAGGGTTTACAGACACGCCTTTGTTGCCGGTCGTGAAAGGGACCAAAAAGCACTGAGCGTAGAAAACGCCCTGGTATTCTGGGATATGCTATTTGCTCAACCTGGCATGCTGTGGAAAAACGCGAATCGCGACTGGTTGCCACTCTGGAAGTCATTTTTAACTGAGAAGTGGACTCGTTCCGTTAATCGCGACATGTGGAATATGACGCTCCAGTTCGCATTGAAGAGCATGGAAGACGATTCCTTGTCCTTCTGGAGTGAAGACGGCGCCTGGCCGAGCGTAATCGATGACTTTGTACAGTGGTGCAAGTCCAAAGGCATCGGCGGTTCTCAGGCTATGGAGGTTGACGACAACGACGCGTGAGGGAATTTTGCAGGGAAGTCAACCATAGCGACATTTCTTTTCTTGAGAGCGGAAGTAGTAGAATTCGTGTGGCATTTTACACGACAAATACCGAGTTATTTCTAGCTGACCGGTAACCTAGAGAGGCTGCTGCATAGAAAAGGCAAGATATTATTAGTGAATAAAGATAGCTGGCGGTAAAATTCCAGGATATCATATTCATGTAAACTGTCTCTCGTTGTGGATTTGAAGCAGCATCGGAGGGGGCGAACCTGCCATCAGTAAACACCAAATAATCCATCTATGCTATCCCCTTGGCCCCCTGTGTATGAAATATATATACAGTCGTCAGCGGTGCATGGCTTCTTTGGCCACGTCTTCTCGGCAAAATACGCTTCAATTTATATTATACAATCGCAGACTCCTCCCGTGGTGTCCTAACGGCCGGGGCTTTTGGGGCTGCGTACGCCGTTGTCGTCCAACTTGACAATTGCTTGTGCGGGAACGTTTTTTTTCTCTCCAATTCCGCCTCGAGGTGGTCGAAGTCGAAAGCTCCTGGAAGTTCTTCGGCGTCATCGTCCTTTACGCGTCGCCGGCCTCGGTTCGCCACTTGGGGGCGCCGAAGCGCGAGAGGGTTTCGAGCTTCCCGTCGCCGAGCTTTACGTGGGCGGCGCGAATCATGCGCGGCTCAAGGCGCATAACGCTGCGGACCTCATCGTGCAGCCGCGACGAGGCGTCATAGCGCATGACGAAGTAGTGGCCGTGGTGGTGCTTCATCTGGTGAACCGACACGGGCCGCGGCAGCGCGAACACGCCCCAGTTGGCGATGCCGCGCACGACGCCGCCGTTCCGCAGGATGGTCGAGCCGACGGTCTTGGCAATTCTGTGGGCTTGGGGTCAGTATCTCGTCTCGCGGGCTGTGCGGTCGAGGGCTGTGGAGGGAGCGAGGTGCGGTCGACTTCCGGAGTGATGATACGTACTCTTTGACCTCGGTCACGTTGCCGGGTCGAACCTGGAATTGGTTAATATTGGTGGTGATATGGGACGGGAAAGGGATTGACGACTTACTATAGCTATTAATTCGTAGAGCATGGTGGCGATTGTGTGCGGGATTCGTCGTTGTCAAAGTGAAGCTCGGAAGCAGGAGAGTCAAGACAGAAAATAGTAGGCGTTCTGTGGACCCGCAGATTAGCCGGCGCAGCATCTTCAACGCGTCGCTCTCCCGTTGCTGTTGCAATTGAATGATAAATTATATAAACGCACTGAATAGATTGAACAAGATTGTCTTTTTACATGATATTCTAGATCAATTTCGAAGGCGATTGGGCGTTTGTATTCGCCGTGTACCATTTATTACATGTCCCCATCCTCAACGCCATACAAAAAGCTTACATATTGTTACAGCCGTTCCTTTGAAAGTGTCTGCCAAACCCGCCAGGGCAATTTCCACCCGGCCGCCTTCACAGCAAAGGGGTCAAAGTTGGCCTGCTCCAGCCGCTCGAGAAAATAGGTTGCCGGCGCTGCCTCCAGCAGCACGCGGAACCCTCGGTGCAGATCCCTGGCGCGGTCGCTCTCCCCGTCCTCGTACACGTGCGCTCCCTCGCCCTCGTGCTCAAAATCGTGGCCAGCGTCCTCACCGGCGCGCAACCGCTTCAGCATCTCCCGCGCCGTGATGAGATGGTCATTGGCACGCGTGGCGACCTTGAAGATGGCATCCTGCAGACCGGGAGCGTTGGGGCCCTGGCGGAAGACTTCCTCCTCCTTGACGCCCTCGTCGGCCATGACGTCGAGCGGCAGCAACAGCGCCGGCTCTCGCGTGGGCGGCGAGTCGCCGCTGGGCGTCTTGATGGGCGGCGGTGGTGCGGCCAGCAGCGGCACGCCGCGCAGGACGGCGACGATGCCGCACGCCTTGCCGACGTGGCTGGCGAGATGGTCCACGTCCATTGACCGCAGGCCGAGGCTCGCCAGCATCGCGTACATCATCGTGGAGTAGGTATTCTCAGCGTAGTCCTCGAGTGCGGCGAGGCTCGTGAATGGCCGGTTGTCCATGTGCTTCTCGCGCGTGCGGACCAGGCGCGACAGCCAAAACTTGATCGACTTCTTGCGCGATGCGTCGGCGTGCTGGTCCATGAACAGCAGCGCGTGGTGGAGAAGGATGCAGATGGGCTCACGTGGCGGCTGGCCGGCGAAGGTCTTGTCGATTGACTCCTGCCAAAACTTGATGCGCATGAGGCCGATGGTCGGGTGGGACACGATGTCGGGGAGGCGGACGAGCTCTAGATTTAGGGCGCGCAGGGCCGTGTACATGTCTTGTGCCGGATGGGCGAATCGACGGATGAGGTGCGCATCATAATCGCCTTTTCTGTGGACGGAGGTGAGCATGATTGGGCGAACGAGGCAGCAGACGATGACCTACTGGAGCTCCTTGGCGCAGTATCGACGGGCACTCTCGATGTCCGCTTTTGCAATGTAGCTGCGGCGCGCGGCCGGGCCGAAGGCTAGACGCCGTAGGCCATTGCAGAGAAGGCGTGGCCTATTCATATAGATAGGCACTCACGGCTGCGAGACGGCTCTATTGGACTCGTCGTCGCATGTGATGCTGGCCAATCGACAACATGGTATTTCTAAGAAAATTAAGGACCTCTAACGGAGGTCAAATATTTCTGTCCGTGATGCGAACTAGTTTGGATCGGCCCCCGCTAAATTTAGACCACGGACCACCGTAATTATCCCCACGGTCACCTGAGAGCGCCACCAAGACGCGCTGGCCACTTTTATTACCGTCGCGTCTCCTACTCGTCGAGAATCTGATCCGTGAACAAGACCAGCCTATGGAATCCTAATCTTTCGACGAACAGCGCAGAGTCCGATGAGTTCGAGACGCCATGGACTTTGGCAACTCGCAAGGACCCCCTGCCAAAAAGCGGCGGTTCTTTACAGACTCAAGCGAGACTTCGGATCCGGTTCTGACTCCAAACGGCAACGCGAGAGCAAAGAAGGAAAATGGCGCCAACGCGACACCGCCCAATCCCATCTTATCAACCAATAGTCATGACCTCGCTGGCACGCAGCCTACGGAAAACACCATATCATTTGACATTTGCACGTTCGAGGCTTTTGTCGGAGAGAAGGTGGCGGAAGACGTGCTTGCTGTTCTGCGCGAACAGAGCAACGACAACCTTGAGCGCGCAGTCAACATGTACTTGGACAGCGCGTACAAGAAGTTTATGAAGCCTGGCGGGCTCAATCCCTGCTCGTCAAAAGCGCCGTCTCCGACTACGACAAGGCCAGCACCACTTCCAGCACCTCGAAGTATGCCCAGCGCACGCTACATTGGCGCCTTTGGCGTTGAGGGCTGGGCAACTCGCAGCGGCGCAAATATACTCAAGCATGGCGACACAGTACTGATAGAACGCCAAAAGATTCAACCGCCAGCTCCTCCGAAGCCCAAGGCAAAGCTTGGCGTTCCCGCAACGCCAGCACGAAACAACACGCTTGCATCGCGTCGCGTCGATGTCATTGTTCGCTTCACGAATGAAAGCGGCATGGAAATCGGTCGGCTAGCAAAAGACACGGCAAATTGGGTCTCGACACTTCTCGATCAGAAGATTTGCAAATTTGAAGGCAGCGTAGTCTACGCGCCGGACAAGCTGCGTACCAACGACACGATATTCCTACAACTGAAATGCTCCTTACTCAAGTCTACCTTCTACAATCGCAGTTTTCAGCTTGCCGATGACCGACCGCAATCACCCTTTGACCAAGCAGAAACTGCCGACGAGAAGAATCTCCGCCTACGACAGGTTGCTCTCGTTCGACTCTTCCAGGAGATTGGCCTCCAGCCCACGACCGCAAACGCAGCCGCCAAGGACGACGGTAGGCAGGGCCTCTTAAAAGCTGCAGAGATGGACGAAGAAAAGCAAGCGGAGCAAAAAAGATCCGGTGCAACAAGGAGCTGGGACTCACCGTCGTCAGATACCGAAGAGGGAAAGGAGCTTGAGCAGGATCAACTCGACGCGCTGTACAAAAAAGCACAGTCTTTCGATTTTGACACGCCAGAGGCGGAGCCAGCCGACACATTTGCTATGACCCTGCGGCCGTACCAAAAGCAATCCCTTCACTGGATGATAGCCAAGGAGAAAGATACACGAAGCAACAGGGAGCCATCCATGCATCCGCTGTGGGAAGAATACGTGTGGCCTATTAAAGATCACGACGACAAAGATTTGCCTATTATTAGCGATGTGACCAAGTTTTATGTCAACCCTTATTCAGGTGACTTGTCACTCGAATTTCCTATCCAAGAGCAACACTGCTTGGGTGGTGTTCTGGCCGACGAAATGGGTCTTGGCAAAACGATCCAGATGTTGAGCCTGGTGCACTCTCACAAGTCAGATATTGCCCTCCAATCGCGTACCGCTAATGGCGGTATCGCAACGGTAAACCAGCTTCAACGCCTCAGTTCTTCTACACCCATGCAGGCTGCCCCGTGCACTACTCTCGTGGTGGCGCCCATGTCCTTGTTGTCACAATGGCAAAGTGAGGCTGAAAAGGCTTCGAAAGAAGGAACTATCAAGGTTGAGCTATACTATGGTAATGAAAAGTCGAATAATTTGCAAGCGCTATGTGGCAGCTCCAATGCATCGATGGCACCGGATCTGGTGATTACGAGCTACGGCGTCGTTCTTTCTGAGTTCAGCGCCATTGCCGCAAGGAGTGGCGACAAAGCCTCCCACACCGGCCTCTTTTCCCTCAACTTCTTCCGCATCATACTGGATGAGGCGCACCATATAAAGAATCGCTCATCCAAAACAGCCAGGGCGTGTTATGAGATGTCTGCGACCCATCGCTGGGTGCTGACGGGCACACCGATCGTGAATAAACTTGAAGATCTGTTCAGCCTGGTTCGGTTCCTTGGTGTCGAGCCATGGAACAACTTTTCGTTCTGGAAGACGTTCATCACCGTACCGTTTGAATCGGGCGATTTTGTTCGCGCGCTCAATGTAGTGCAGACGGTGCTGGAGCCACTGGTCATGCGGCGAACGAAGGATATGAAGACTCCAGATGGGCAACCGCTGGTGCCGCTCCCCCCCAAGCAAGTTGACGTAGTTGAAGTCGAGCTGTCCAAGACAGAGAGAGATGTCTATGATTTCATCTATAACCGAGCGAAGCGCACATTCAACAAGAACATGGAAGCCGGAACAGTGATGAAGGCCTTTACGACCATTTTCGCCCAGATCCTGCGATTACGACAATCCTGCTGCCACCCCATCCTCGTGCGAAACAAAGACATTGTAGCGGACGAAGAAGAAGCTGGTGCTGTAGCCGACGCCAACACCGGGTTCGCCGACGACATGGACCTGGAGAACTTGATTCAGCACTTTACCGCTGTCACAGATGAGGCGTCAAAGGACAACCAGGTGTACGGTGTGCACGCGCTGAGCGAGATCCGCGACGAGTCAGACAAGGAATGTCCATTTTGCTTCGAGGAGCCGATGAACGACCAAACAGTAACGGGATGTTGGCACTCTGCATGCAAGAGGTGCCTGCTGGACTTTATGAAGCACGAGACAGACCGCGGTGTAGTCCCAAAGTGCTTCAGCTGCCGCGCGCCGCTCAATGCGCGCGACCTGTTTGAAGTGATGCGGCACGACGACGAAGTGGACATGGCGACGGGGAAGCCGCGCATCAGCCTCCAGCGGCTGGGGATGACTTCGTCATCGTCCAAGGTGGCGGCGCTCATCAGCCAGCTGCGCAGTCTGCGCCGCGACCACCCGGCCATGAAGTCGGTCGTCTTCTCGCAGTTCACCTCGTTCCTGAGCCTGATCGAGCCGGCGCTCACGCGCGCCAACGTCAAGTTCCTGCGGCTAGACGGCGGCATGGCGCAGAAGGCGCGCGCGGCGGTGCTTACCGAGTTTACCGAGCGCCAGGGCTTCACGGTGCTACTCATTAGCCTGCGGGCGGGCGGTGTCGGGCTCAACTTGACGAGCGCGGGGCGCGTCTTCATGATGGACCCGTGGTGGAGCTTCGCCGTCGAGGCGCAGGCGATCGACCGGGTGCATCGGCTGGGACAGGACGACGAGGTGCAGGTGAAGCGGTTCATCGTCAAGGAGAGCGTGGAGGAGCGGATGCTGCGGATCCAGGAACGCAAGAAGTTCATCGCGACGTCGCTGGGCATGATGAGCGACGAGGAGAAGAAAGTGCAGCGGATCGAGGATATCAAGGAGCTGCTAAGCTAAGAAGAGGGTGCGCGATGGGCGGGATGGGTTTGCATCGTGACGGCGTCTGGCAATGGGCTGCATGCTTGTTGGTTGGTTATAATGGACTTATTTACAGGAAGAGGGGGGGCATGCTTCTTTGTTGGTTCTAATAGGAACTACACGACTTAGATACACGAAGTACATAAAACAACTGTACATGTTTTCATTTACGAGCTTTCAGTATGAGTGGCTAAATGTATATTTTTCGCTGGGGGACAATTCATTGAGGTTTAAAATGATTTAAATTTTATTCTATCCAAAATACCTTTATTCTACCGTTTTCTTCTTTCTACTTTTAACCTCTCTCCTGGATCAGCTTTTTACAAGACAACCTGGGTGGTGGCGGCCTTTTCGCGGTCGTCGCCAAAGATGTCGACGTTCCAGTTGGGCTTGTAAGTGAAGGGAATGTTGAATCTGTGCTTGTCCTCGCCAATCTTGTTGAGGCGCTCGACGTCCTCCTTGTCGAGGTCGACCTCCTGAAAGTTCTCGCGGATGCGGGCGGCGGTGACGGACTTGGGGATGACGGTGTGGCCGCCGACCTGGGCCCAAGCGAGCAGGACGTGGGCCGGGGTGACGGTGCGACCGCGGGCGGCGGTCAGGCGCTCGGCGACGGCCTTGACCTCTTCGTGGACGAGCAGCAGCGGCGCGCCGACGGTGTTGTTGCCAAAGGCCGAGTAGGCGGTCAGGATGATGTGCTTGTCGGCGCAGTACTTGACGAGCGGCTCGTCGACGAGGCGCGGGTGGCGCTCGATCTGGTTGGCGGCGGGGGTGACGCCGGTGGCCTTGATGACGGTCTCGAGCTGTGGGTGGCCGGGGATGTCAGTTATCGAGGTTCTATAGCATCGCCGGGGTAGGTTTATAAGGATAATTGATGGGGCGTACGTGGTTGATGGTAAAGTTGGAAACTCCGACAGCGCGGGTCTTGCTCTTGGGGAGCTCGGTCATGGCTAGAGGCGGAGTCAGCATGGTAAGTTCGAGACGAGTTGCGTGTCGAGGACATGGGATGCCTACCCTTCCAGGTCTGGGTGATGGAAGTCTTCTTGTCGAGGCGAGTACCGCCGTTGGCATCCTTGGGGAAGAGACCGTCTCCGTGCTCAAAGGCGACGGGCCAGTGGATGAGGTATAGCTAGAATGGGGTCAGTATGGGAGTTCCTCGCATCAATTGATGTTCCAATCGTGTGCAATTGAGAGCTGAGAGCTCATATGAGCCACGTACATCAAGGTATTCCAGCCCGAGCTCCTGGAGGGTGTCGTCGAGCGCGGCGGCGACGTTCTCCGGCTGGTGGCTGTCGTTCCAGAGCTTGGAGGTGATGAAGATGTCCTCACGCTTGAGGCCCGGGACCTCGGCGATGGCGCGTTGGATGCCCTCACCGACCTCGCGCTGGTTCCCGTAGACCTTGGCCAGGTCGAGGTGGCGGTATCCGGCCTTGAGGGCCTCGAAGACGCCGGCACCGACCTCGCCGGGGGCCGCCTGCCAGGTGCCGTAGCCGAGAGCAGGCACCTTGGCGCCAGTGTTGAGAGTGATGGTGCGACCGGAAGACATTTTGTATTGTTCCTGGGGTTTGATGGGGGTGTTGAGATTGGTGATTGAGAGAAGAGAGATGGTGGCAGAGGACAAGGATGGACTTGAGAAGAAATCGCAAACTTATATGGTTGGCAACGACTGGTGTTGGTGGTAGCTATGGTGGGGGAGGGGCAAATTTTCCAAACAAATGACGACACAGCACTAAGACCATGTCAACGCCCTGAAACTGGTCGAGATGGTATCAAGTCTATACCCAATTCAACTAGTTGCCCCTCGCTAAGACTCCATTGCGGCAGCTGGGCCCCTGAACTCTCGGTGGTACTGAGGGTCTCGTCCCCAGTTTACCGACGGGGAATTGTCATTGTTGCATGGCAGGGTTGGGGGTTCATTATTAATGAGTAACTGGGTAGACTCGACGGGGTTCGATCCGCGTCGTATAAGTTGTGTTGTAACTAGCGAGCACGCAAGGATAGAGAGGATAGAGGTTTCTCTTTCTTGTTGTGATTGGTCTGTCCCTAGCGCTCAGCAAAGACAAGTCTGAGAAGACAGCCGTCAGGGTTCTTGTGACCTTTATCGGTATAACGGGTAGGAAGAGAATTTACACGTCGCATATTTCTCAACGGCGCGTGGCGTCGAAGCCAAAGACATGATAACTAGTCAGTTATAGTAGTTAGATCAAGGTAACTGTACAGTGACCAATAGTTCCCAACAAGCATCGTGGGGGCGGCAGACAGAAATGACAGAACTGGACGGAAATTCCCACTCGCATTGGCACAGACCAGTTGCTAACTAACTAGTTACTATATTCCTACCTGTAGAGTTGCCAATGCCCACAATCCCACTAAAACTATCGTCAAGCCTCCCTCCTTGCATCCTTAACGCCGAAAGGCGATCTTCACGAGACGGATTTTAAAACCATCTTGAGTCACACCGGACGTCTTTGAGCTTGAACTATGGGAACTGGAACGGCATTCTCTTCTTTTGTTGGGACGGTTTATCAGCCTTGATCTCGCCGATGGGAGTTCCGACTCGCCTTAGCCGAGCCAATAGCGTGAGGCTGAGCTGGCCAAGCGTCGATTCAGGTTGGACTGTCAACTTTGATTTAGAATTTCTCTACTCATTTCTCAAGTACGTTCTGTGCTATCATCTTGCTCACGGACGCTGGAATAAGGACAGACAAACAGACAAACAGACAGTGACAGAAAGATAGTGTGGAGGGCAGAGACGACTGTGGCGGGCTTGGCCGCGAATCGTGCAACGGCGGCACCTGGAGAATATTTACCGCATCACACGTTGCATGCCACAGGGTATTCTGTATCCAATACCTGCCGTCTTCCAGTTTCGAAAGTTGTAGCAGCAATCGAGATGACATCTTATATTCTCCAAAGAGTATACCCGACAAAGAAAACTCTTAAAAGACCCTGCTTGCAGTGACCTCTTGTCTTCTGTCGACACTCATCAATTGTTGAAAATGCAAATTGTCGCGCCGCCATTTCCCAAATTGTCGTAGACCAGCAAAGCAGTGCCACCCCCCGCCCCCCCAAAAAAATGCTCAAGATGAAGAATAAAATACACGAAAATAAAAGCTATACACAAAAAAGGACAATTACTTGCGCATCAAACACCGCAGCTTGCTCATCATGAGTTCCCATTTCCACATCACTGTCATAACCATTCTCGTCATCATCACCATCATAATGGCCGCCAATTGCAAGTCGACACTTGAAAAGCGGCTTGTTGTCGTTCCAGGAATCATCCCCGTCATCCTCACGCCCCCTCCGGCGCAGCCTCTGCGTCAGCCGCCGCTGCCTCCGGTGCCGCTTCCGCGTCACCACCCTCAGCCGCCGCCTCGGCCGCCTCGCTGCCGTGGTGCGATGAGGCCTTGGAGCTCTTGGAGCTCTTGCGGCTGCTGCCGCCCGATGACCTTCGCCTCCTGCGCGACGAGCATCGGATCGTGTGGCGGTACACCCAGAGGAAGGCGAAGACCAAGGCGAGGAACGCGGCGATCGAGAGGCCGACGGTGAGGCCGATGCTGATGTTGGTGTTTTCAAGGGGGTCGTCGGAGAATTGTCGTCGGGCAACCTGGACTGCGACGTCGGCGGTCGAGGCCTGTGGCGGGGCCGGGGACGGCGCTCCCTGTTCACGCCATGATGTCGGGGCCCGAGGAGGCGTGGATCGGACGCCGTCCACCTCGCTCACGCTGTGCGGGATATACATGCAAAAGCCCACCCGCCGTACTGCTGATCCCAGGTGTTGAGGGATGTATATTGCGGGTTTGACGCGTGAATCAGTGGCGGCTTGCTGCCTTGTACGCGACGAACAGGGAACTGGACAGTTTAAACACAAAGTAGGAATGGGGGTGTGCCTTTTTTATCCCACATCCGTGTCAAAATCTGAGTTTATGCAGCACGTAGCACAGAGTCGCCCAGCCTCAGGGCGGGTCGGGCCTCGTCTTTGTGGCGGATGGGCCAGCCATTATATCTACCCAACGCCGTCTTGGTCAACCTGGCCCGGCTCCTTTGTACAACAACGATGGGGCAGAATAAAGAGCATGCGTCCGCAAACCGTCCGGCAGGTTGGAGGGGGTGGCGGGGGACCCGTGTGGCCGTCTGCAGACGGTGTCGACGTGATACCAAGAGCGAGGGCAGCCCCAACCCAACATGCACGGATTTCGGAAGCGGGTGGATATGCAGTAAAATAGTTAATGGAGTGTTTGACCCGGCAATTTCTGGCAAGCATGCAGGATGCTGGCTTTGTTGCCATGATTGACATGATTTACGACATGCTAGTTAGTAACGGGCGCACAGCTCCTGCTTGTTTGGGTTGTGCTGCACCTTCATTCGTAAGGATTGTGAGGGCGCTTCCCATGGTGCACATACAAGCTGAATAGATTTGTACTCTGCTGCCGTCAACTTTAATCACTTTATGTATCTTCTGTCACTTACATCCTCCCTACACCACCGGGCATGTGATGTTGAGTGAGTAGCACCAGACGAGTTGTACAGTAGATACCCAAGAAATTACGGCCTCATCATGCGATATCGGCAGTTTTCAAAGTTGAAAACCAACCAGAATCGGTCCCCCGGGATGGCCTATTGCGGGGACATCGGGCCGCATGTCGGCCAACTCAGCACGGCCCGACGACGCCCAACCACTCCTCGTGCTGACTCGGGGTTGGGGTACAGGGAGTACAAAGTAACTGTGAACAATGTCAAGAGACTGTAGAATTATCGATGTCTGGCATGTCGGAAAATTGCACTCTCAACATATCAAGTGAAAGAGTTTGTGGACACGCAGTGCCGTGGACCGGAGACCTAGAAGCATTGGTTGGGTACTACAGCGATTATGGAACTCGGCAATAATGACTTCGGAGCTAAAGGCAAAAAGCAGGCTCAGCAAGAATGTAAGAATAAGCAAGCATGCTTACGAGCTGTTTCCTTTCTCCCCCGCCAAAGGCGATTGTGCGTGCAGGCGTCTTTGATTGGTAGCGGGTGTAGGGTAGGCCGCGTATCAGGTAGGGCAACCCGCCCGCAAGTTGGCCGCCTCAAAGCGCGCAGTTGTTTTGACCACTCAGTGATTCGAGGTAAAGGGACGCAAAAGCTCCACAGTGTCGATCGTTCTAGCTCCCCTCATTACCATTCGGGCATCACTCTGCAGCTCCAGGTCACGAGCAATCTGCTGTGGCTGCAGCACCGAGACACCACGCGGAGGCTAAGCCCCTCGACTTGGAGAAGAAGGGTGTCACAGCGATGCGCAGGGCAAACACGTTCGCACGAGCTGCTGTTACACTGCTGCGATTGGAGCCGGCCAACTGCCATGCGGCGGAATGTACATACGTTCATGTAGTGGCTAACAAGTACTGCCTGCGCAGCGCCGGCAATCGGAGTCGTGCTTGCCATACTTGGGCCACTCACTGCGCTTCCGCTCAGACGAAGAGGAAACTATTCGAATTTCGGCCTGGCGTAGGGGTGTTAATATAAATATCAAGTCGGGCAGCGCTTCTGAAGAGTGGGTGGCAGATGAGGCGTGGCCTGGGGTATCTTGGCTCTGACGGACAGTGCTAACTAACACTGGAAAGCTCTGATTCGATATGCAGGTTAGGCCATTGCACGCTGAGTTTTGTGGACGTTTGATTCGTCTTGTCAATGCATATCCTTTTAGCCAGTTGAAAGACGACGTCTTGTTACTGTGGCAAACGCACTTGTTACCTCTACGGCGCAGCTCTGTGACAAGCCATCTATGTAGGCATGTACAGTATGAATGTATGTACATTGATAGGTAGGAGCTGGGCGGGTACCTGGGAGAGGGGAGCCGCCTGAAAACCCCGCCATCTCAGGGCGCCACAATCGCTACAGATCGATCGCCAAGCTGAAGGAGGCAGCTCGGATGAACAGCCATCAACAATTTCCAAGTCAGTGCTGCCTTTAAACACTCTCCGTCCTCTACCAGCACTTCTCTTGCTTTCTTAGGGCTAGGTCTATATTTAAACACCTCGTCACTCCATGTTCATATCATGCACCCTGCCTGCAGATAAATCCACCTGCTGCCAATATTCTCTACTAAAAGTCCCGCGCAGCCCGTTCTGTGGCTCCTGCTCGCCTGCAACTACAGATTACACGAACCACTCTAATAAAGCGGTCGCCCCCCCTAGCATTTCCCTCTCGCATCTTCACCTTTACCTACTCACTTCTTCTGGCTCTCCGCAGCTCATCACCTCAGCGTCGCCCATGGAACTGCTTCCCGCCCTCTTCGCCTGGGCGGCCAGCTACGCATGTCGCGTCACCCTGGTGGCCTCGAGTGCCATCGGCCAGCGTCTCTGCGGCGCCGACGCGCAGTCCATCGCCATCGACGTCCACGATTTGGCCAAGCGGCTTTCGCCCGCCGCACAGATACTCATCCCCGGAAGCGACGCTTTTAACGACGCCTCCCGCCGCTGGAATGTCTTTGACGAGCCCCGGCCTGGCGTTGTCGTGATCCCGGGTGTCGCCGACGATGTTGCCCACACAGTGAGCATCCTTCTCCCCTAACATGGCGTCTATTCAATTCCGTCTTCTTGCTCAACGTGTAAAATATGACCAGATCCAGTATGCCAATGAGCATGAAACGCCTTTCCTCGCCGTCGGTGGGCAGCACGGTGCCACCAGCACTCTGGGTAAGCTCCACGGCGGCATTGAGATCGCCATGAGCAGCCTCAGAAGCGTCAACGTGTCCAACGACGGACAGACGGCCACGATCGGTGGTGGAGCCCTCTCTAAGACGGTCATCGACGCTCTCTGGGATGCCGGCAAGCAAACAGGTAGGCACTTTCGCACCTCGCCTCCGGCACGTCCTGCTCTCTGTACTGACGACCGCAAGTTACTGGCACGTGTGAGTGCACCAGCTTCCTCGGTCCCGGCCTCGGCGGCGGCCACGGCTGGCTGCAGGGCCACCATGGGCTCGTCGCCGACCAGTTCCTGTCCATGGACGTGGTCCTCGCCGACGGCCGAGCGCGCACCGTCGACGCCCAGTCCGACCCGGATCTGTGGTGGGCGCTGCGCGGCGCCGGGCACAACTTTGCCGTCGTCACCTCGGTGACGGTCCGCGTCCGCGACATCCGCCACCGAGACTGGGCGCGCGCCACTATGTTCTTCACCGGCGACAAGCTCGAGCGCGTCTTCCAGACCCTAGCGGACACCGTCTTTAACGCCGGCGACCAGGATGTCGATGTCGTCGTGTGGACCTACATGATGAACGTGCCCGAGGTCGACCCGGAGAATCCCGTCGTCGTCGTCTACCTGCTGCAGGAGGGCGTCCGCGCCGTCGACGACCGCCACGCGGCCGCGCTGTTGGCGCTCGGCCCGGCCCGCGTGGACGACGCGCCCGGCACCTACCGCGACCTCGCCGCCTGGACCATGATCTCGGCCGCCGACCCGCCCTGCCAGAAGCTCGGCGCCAGCAACCTGCGCTTCCCGCTGTACCTCGAAGCGTATGACGTCGGCGCCGTGCGCCGCGCCTACGACCTCTTCGCCGCGGGGCTGCGAGGGACCCCGGAATTTGCGCACTCCATCTTCCTCTTCGAAAACTACCCGGTGCAGGGGCTGCGCGCGCCCGCCGCCAACGAAAGCGCCTTTGCATTCCGTGGCGATAACATACTCGTCGCCCCGCTCATCAGCTTCCCGGAGGGCGACCGCCAGATGGGCGGCAAGGCCATCATGCTGGGCGAGGAGCTACGGAGGATACTGCATGAGGCATCGGGCCGGGAGTGCATGCACACCTACGTCAACTACGCATTCCGCGATACAAGTGAGGAAATGTACGGTGCTGAGGCGTGGCGGCAGGAGAAACTGGCCGGGCTCAAGGCCACGTACGACCCGCATGGGCGCTTCAACTTCTATAACCCGGTTGCTTAAACCATGGTGTATGAATGGCTTATGATTGTATATACAGAGGTGTGTCGATAATGTGCATTATACTTGCATGATAAACTTTGGTCCGTTTCCCGGGTGTTCCACCATCTCTGCCTGGTCCATGAATTCCGACATGCGCACGCACAGCTTGGGTGTTTTCTCGATGCGCCCGTCTGGTGTCCGCGCCAGCACTACGACGCCAAATTCGGATTGCTCATTCGCCACCAGAATGGCGCCCCGCCCGTCGTCCATGAGGCAGAACATGCGCGGGCGCAACCCGAGCGTTGGCACCTCTTGCACGAATTCAAGGACAGGGTGCTCGCCGCCGTCGTGGACGCGCATGTATGCGACACTATCGTGGGCGCGCCCCGTCAGGCGATTCGTCAGGAGGATATGTTTGTTGTCTGGAAGGAGCGCCAAGTGACCCGCGCGTGCTGTAGCAACAGAGGGTCCTCCTGGCCCAAACGTACACGTCTCCGACACCCTGGTGAACTCAAGCGTGGAGCCCGTGTAGTGAAGCGCGTAGACGACCACGATGTTGGCGAGTTCGCAGAGGAGGATGTAGTGTGATGGGGTGGCGGCGCCGACGGGATAAAACGCACCGTGCCGAGGGCCGCTGCCGGGCGGCCCTACGGCGACGCGACTCGAAATCGCAAACGCGTCGTCCTGCGAGTCGATGACGAGCAGCTCGTCGGTGCCCAGGTCCGGCACCACGTAGAAGCGCCCCGTCGGGTCCAGGAGCACCTGGTGTGGGTGCGGGGCGTCCTGGATGTGAGACAGCGGACCGGGCCGGCCATCAGACACGACCGTCTTGTCGAGGCACCTCTCCAGCGCGATGCCGTCGCTAACATCCCAGACGTCGACGTTGCCGCTCGCAAACGCGGCGCAGAGGAGCCGGCGGGCGTCACAGGAAAAGGCCAGGTACACGGCGCCGGGGCTGGCGGTGTCGACGGTCTCGTGGTGCGTAAACGGCGTGGCCGAGTCGAGGTCCAGGCGGAAGCGGTGGAACTTGCTGCTGTCCTCGTCAACGACGTAGAGGAGCGAGCGTGGGCGGTCCACAGCGAGCCAGGACAGGCAGCCGGGGAGGGCGAGGTCGTAGGTGATAGTGAATGTGTTGGCCGATGCGTCATACGCGGCCAGATAAACGTGACCCGGACGGGAAATGAGGAACTTGCTCATAATAGGCGGGTATCTCTGGTTTGCCCGAAAGAAGTTGTTGAGCTGTGAGGCAAGAAGTCAAATGCTGAAGTGGTGCTCAACACCTACAAACCATAGAGGGGCACCTTGGGCATGGTGGGGGTGGGCGCGGGGGTCACGGATACTTTGAGATATTGACAGTCAGCAAGATAAATCATGGCATTTACATGGGAAGTTTACTATTATAAATATATAACCAACCGAGTATGGTCATAGCCATAATTATCATCCACTAGAACCCCTCACCACGAAAGCGACACCGCCTTGCCCTCATACTTGCACCCGTCCGGCTCCCGCAGCAGATTTTCGTGCACCCCGCGCGCGACGTCATCCTTGGAGATGAAATACCCAACCTGCTTGACCTCGACGCCCTCGACCACATCCTCCACGCCGACGCGCACGCGCCTCTCCGGCCGCACCTCGTCCTTCAAGAAGCTCGGCCGCACCATAAGCACCCGCTCGCCGCTCGCCGCCAACCGCGCCTCCATCCTCTCCTTGTCCGCGTGCGGTTGGCGCAGCAGCCACCAGTACATGGGCAGCATGCCGAGCGGCACATCGCGGCCGAAGCGTGAGACGCCCGTGGTGCTGATGGCCGTGTACAGCGGCCGCCCCTCGCGACCGGCTCCGCGGAGACTCGCCAGCGCCGCCAGCACGCACTCGGTCGCGCGGTCGCAGACGGTCGGGTCGTCGAGCGTGCGCGTGCGCAGGTTCAGCTGCCCGCCGACCGATACGTGGATGGCGTCGACGAGGCGCGCCGGGTCCAAGGGGTGGGCAAGGCACGCGGCCACGGCGGCCGTGTCGTGCGCGTTGCCGGCGAGCACGACGAGGTTGGCCGGCGGCGAGGGGAAGTGCGCGTCCATCTTGGAGGGCGTGCGGCACAGCGCCACGCAGGTGTGCCCGCGGCTGCGAGGGCGCGCTGCAAGGCTGCGAGGCCGCAGCCGCCCGAGGCGCCGATGAATGCAACTGTGTGAGGCATCTTGTGGGTGTTTTATAATTTGTTGACTTTGGGCGTGGGAAAGAACTATGGTGAGTTGACAGGCTTGCTGTACTTGTGCCGTTGTTATAGTTTGTTAAGTATTGCTGAAGTTGGTGCTGAAGCCAACAGATGAAGCTGGAGATGATTTCTGGCTGGGCACTATATATCAGCCGTCAATCATCGAGGCCATCTCCTCGTTCATTGTCAACACTGTAAATCTCGGAACCGAGACGCGCAAGCCGCTTCGCACAGGCGTCACTCGCCTCTTCCCCTGACAAGGCGGCGAGGAGTAGCGACGCGACAGTTCTCCGCAGGCAGACACTGAGGTCGCCCAACGTGACAAGCGACAGCATAAATTAGCGCCTTATTACCTGTCGAGTCATGATGAAACGGCGCACTAACTGGTTACCCATTCAGGGTCCGCACAGGCAAGTCCGCAGCTGCTGACGTCTGGCTGCGACGAATCTCGCGTCGCGAGGGGGGCGAGAGAACGAAAAGCGCAGCCCGATTGACCAGATGAACGTTTGCGCTCTTGTAGGCTGCGCGGGCCCCTGTTTTCTTGACGTTGTTGTGGAAATTGAAGTTATTCGAATGCAATTTCAATTTTGTAGGGTCTGCTATTGCTACCTATTGCGTATCATCTCAAACAGCCCAGTCTGCGCTGCCTTTGCCTCAGCAGCTACAGTGACTGGGTAGTGCTGACAAAGTCTAACCACAGCTCCAACTCACACATCGTCAGCACCTCCCTCCCTTCTATGGCCTCGCCGCGACAAACTTCCAAGCCATATACGCGCCGTATCCCAGGCCAGCCATCGCCAACCCCCTCCCGAGCAGGCCAAACAGGACCTCGTTGGCCTCGGCCATCATGCGCGCCACGCCAATCTCCACGTTCTGCTGGAACGCCGCGCGGTCGTTGATGCGCGGGAACGGCGCCGTTACCAGCTCCCCCGTCTTCGCATCGCGCACCTTGGGCACCTCGACGCCGAGGTGCTTGCACAGCGGCTCCCAGCCGTCCTGCACCTTCCACTCGATCCGGCGGTCCGCCGCCACCGCCGCCCGGCACTCGTCGTAGCTTGCCCGCATGAATCCGATGGCCTTGTCCTTCTCCGTGAAGTGGTCGTAGCCGCCCTCGGCGAAGTGCACCTCTTGCCAGAACGCGGCCTGGCCGCGGAGGCGCGCGCACAGCAGCCAGCAGTACAGCCGCTTCGCCCGCCGGAGGAGGCTGGGCGGGTCGCGGATCGCGGCCACCGTCGCCGACACGCTCTCGTACCACGCGTCCGGGTCCCGGTTCAGCATCACCACCTTGGCCTCGGGGTACAGCCGCACTAGGTCTGCCGCGAAGAGTGCCGACGGGTAGTCGATGCAGCCCTGGCAGTCGCCCAGCAGCCGGTCCCAGTCGAGCTTGGTGAAGGTGCCCTCGCCCCGGTACTTGGCCCGCAGCGCGCGCGTCCACTCGGGCATCTCGGCGCCCTCGGGTTCTGTCACGACGTGGATCATGTGATGCGTGCGGTTGAAGCCGAGCATCTGTAGCGCGGCGTGTGTGCCTGCAGGGATGGACGATTAGTATTTCAAGGAGGCAGACAGACGTGGCGCCGCCAGGGTTTTCTTCGTACTCATGGTGCCAGTTCGTGGAAAGCCACAGACGATGAGCTTCATCGGCGTGGTGCGAGGGTAGCCCTCGGTGCCATCAATGGGGTAGCGCTTGGGCAGCATCGTGGCTTGTTGACTCAAAGTGGCAATTCTACTGAGGTTACGTCCTTTGGTAGGCGATGTTTATCAATCAGACGGAAGTCAAGATTCATGAGTGACAAACGAAGGAGGCGGGGATACGTTGTTCTTAAACATCCTGCCAGGGCCCAAGACACATGACTTCGGCCGGCCACTGCCACCTTTCCCACCTCAGCCTTCCTACCTTTGATCCTACCGGCAACGAATTAAGAAGCAGGTTGGGACACAACTCGGGACCGACGGCCGGTTCAACCCTTGGGCCCTTGTCTCCTTACGGCAGCTGCACCCTCTCCAGCAGCGTCGAAGCTCCACACAACGCCTCGTTGTTCTATAAACCTCCGACCTCCGATGAGGGGCTGAAACGACTGAAGTGGCCTAGTTAACAGTCATTAATACTGATTGTGGTATGGATGGCCACTAGCTTGTTCGATTATCCAATATGGGATGGTTTGCGTGGCCATTGCACCCGTCAGGTGGTGGACATATGCCATCTCTACTACCTATGTATGTCGGGAACAGTCCATGTCCACCAACACTAATTCCGCCCTGCGAGGAGCCGAAGCTCCGATATCCCGACGAGCCCAGACACAGCGGTATTATCGATCCAATGCTTGTAGGTTTAGATGCATACATTGACAAAAGCCTGGAGGCGCATGAATTCGCCAGCGAGCTCCCCAAATGTTACTTCGTTCTTGGAGTAGCTTTTCTGGTAGCCTTTGCGCCGCAGAGAGATGCACCGTGGCCCGACCGCGTCGCCTGCGAGATGGCCAAACCGAGCCCAATTTGTGCGGGTCGACGGACATCGCGCGGATCCGCTCGTACTCTATGTGCAGGATTTAAACTGTTTAGGAGGTGGTAGGTGAACTAGCGAGTTATCCAGTGACAAATTTGTAACCAACCCTTGTTAGACCAAATATCTGTTTATTTGCTCATCATGGTATAAGGATGCTCAGCGCCCCGGAACACTAGTTAGTGGTTAGTAATCTGCCTATATAATAGCACCCTAATCCGAATTTATGTATATACTTCCTCCTGAAATGCTAAGGCTTGCATTCTGTACGAACGAATGACTGTCATTTACTTTCCTCTACATACAGCACGTGTACGTATCTACTTCTGCTAATGTTAGCCTCCGCGCTGCATATTAAAAGACACCATCTGACCACCTTAACCAACTATCCTCGCTCTCAAGGTTAAGAAGATCCCTCAGTCTAGCAGGCGACTTGTCGGGTTCAGCCCGAAACTGCTTGAGCAGCTTGCCACACAACATAGCCAGCGGCCCCAATCCAGGATCGCCACGGATAAGAGTCTTTCCCAGCGTTGACCTTCCAGCCGTCGTTGAGACAAGTAGATCGAAGGCTGTCTCTTCGTCTAATTGACCCAAATTTATCGATTGCGCACCGTGCTGACTCCAAAGCGTTCTTAGAGACTCTTGTGATGTTTCTATCAGCGCCGCTGCAGCATCTTTTTCCCGTAAGTGGGTTAAGATAATTCCCAGTCTGTACTTCGCACGCGCCTCCGCTTCAATAGTCCAGCCGTTTAGGCGCGACAGGGTGATTTCAAGAATGGACCTGCATCGTTTTTAGTTGGCCGCTGTATGTCGCAAGGCATTCGCTGGACAGTCCTTAAACTCACTTGGCCCTCTCCATATTTCCTCGCTTTTGTTCCACGGTAGCGAGAAGATAAGCTGCGTCGGAAGTTCGTCTGCTCGAGAGGCCAAACAGTTTTATACTTCTTTCGTAAACTTCCCTGACCTCAGAAAACGCGTCACTATACCTTCCAGCAGAAACAAGGATAGAGGCTAGAGAAATGTGAACCTGCTGCGCAACAGCACAGTCCCGGGTGAAATTCCTGTCGGTATTTTCCGTCGTCTCTGACATCAATGCGATAGACTCCTTGTATCTGCCTGTTCCTGCCAAGGCCAAAGAGACATTCATAGGAGACTCGGGGAAGTGGTTATACTGTTGCTGACAAAGGATAGATGCCCTTTTCTGCTCCCATGCAAGGAACAGGAAATCCAAGGCAACGTCATAAAATCCGAGATCAATAAGACCACAGCCTATGTCATTCCATGCGTTGCCCCAGCAAGTGATGTCTTCATCTGTGATTAACTCAGGCTTTACCACATGCAAGTGGAACTGCCGCATCTGCAGAGCTTTATTCAACTTGTCCCAGCTATTCGAGCGTTGCGATATTCCATGGTCAACTCGAATCGCAGCTGCAATTGCGTAGATATTGGCTTTCTGCGCGGACAAATTGTTTCCTAGCCGGCTACAGATAGCCTCTGCGGAGTCACTTGTTTGGAATGCTTCTGTGTAGAGTCCCCTCTCCCAGAAATAGCTACTTGCATCGGAGAGCATCTCCGCGAATTCGATTCCAGCAGAAGGCAGAGCTGCCAAGTTTTTTTCAAAAATTTTGCACAAGTTTAGGACGTGCGGAGAGACGAGCTCCCGCTCCTCCCACAGGTCATTTTGCGGGGTTTGCACTGGTGACTGCTTTGGGAACACCGCGAGAATCAGTTTGACCGCAAGATCAAAGATCTGTTGAAACTCTTTAGGTTCCTGTTCTAGTCGGCTCAGAATGTGCTTTTGTACCACTCGATGCATGAGGAGTAAGGCGCCTTGATCTGTGCGATGCCGCTCGACGAGGTAGCGACTACTCATTTTTGACACTATAGAGTGATATCTAATTATAGTGAGCACCTCAGTCCAGATCATATTTTAGGCAAGACTTACTGGGATTTAGAGCCAAGACCAAACATTGATAGATTTGAGAGCGGGTCGCCAGCGAGGATGACGTCTTCCGAGACCCCTGTCGGACTCAACATGGCCAAAGTCTGGACAAGTAGAAGGGCTTTGGATGAAAGTTGCTTTCGAGCCGTGTCCCATGTTATTCCAAAAGGTTTGTCGTAATGGGCTATGACTGGAGAGGCTTCGGGTGACATCAGAGTGGCAAAGGACGTGTTTTGCTGCAGTTCCATCAAAATTTCTCCCAAGTTCATACTGGAGTAGATGCCAGCAACAAAAGTGATTGCAAGTGGAACACCGCTCAGTTCAGCGGCTATTGCTTCTGCTTTGCACTGTACATCATCAGCGATGGACGATGCAATAGCCCGCTCAGGCCCCGATGACAACGTTGGTGGCGGTTGTGTTAGCGCGAGATGTTTTAGTAGAAGTCGGGACCCAGAGGCTTTATCCAGAGTATTCACGACAATTGTTGACGAACAAACTTGGGCCAGGTCCGATCTCTGCGACGTTAGCAGCAAGTGGCCCTGGTCAACGCGAGGCCACACTGCGGAAACGGCGCTTAAATTCTCAACATTGTCAAGGACAAGAAGCCATTGTTTGCCTGTATGCAATTAGTATGTGACTTGATAGACGCTTCAATACTACCGACCTAAAGTCTCAAGCCAAGCTCGGAATCGTTCAACCTCAAGTCGCGGCTCTTTTTCAGCTTCGCTGCGTGGGCCAAGCTTGAGTTTTCTTGAGATGGTTGCTGCAGCATTGCTCACTGCAAGATCCGTTTCCGCCGGAAGCCAGAGCACAAAGTCATAATTATCCCGGTGCCTGTACGCATACTCCAACGCAATGCTTGTCTTACCGACGCCCCCTAGACCCTGTAGAAGGCAAGCACGCTGAAAACTGGCGTCGCCTGTTCTGGGCTGAGTCAAATGTGTCCAAATACGAACAATTTCCTCATCCCTCTCACAGAAGTGCGGATTCCGAAGAAAAGGAACCTCGAAAAGTCCTGATGAGAGTGCCGGCAAGACAGCGACCGTGGGGAGCAACTGAATGATCTTGGTCGAGTTTCCAATCAAGGTCGAGTCCACTGTGTACTGGCGGCTTCGCTCGAACCGGGCGTAGTGATTGGCTATGCTCAATCTGGCTGCTTGGTACTTCTTGTCGATGGTGGACCAAAACAATCTGAGAAAATTGTCTATACATATACATGATTTAGCTGCGTACGATTTCAGTAGAATCAGGCTCATTTGTACATAGCGGCCATTTCTTGAAGAAGAGGAACGCGCTGACTGAAAAGCCGACGTATTCTTCAATAAGGGTTCGCGTGCACTCTTGCAGCTCGCTCGATTCTGGGAAAAGGGTGAGATAGCGATTTAACTGAACAACGATGGAGGCGAGTTCGTGGAACATCTCCGTTAACAAGCAGAGAAGCTTCGCGAAACGGCTGGCTGCCTGAGTTGCATTAGCTACGAAAGGGAGACACACCAGTCTCAGTAAGATGAACCTACAGTAACCACAGATTGCATTGCCCCCCAAATGAAGCCGACCGGAGCCGTGGGAGATTTTGCTATCGAGGTAATTGCAGTAACCAGTATACTCAGTTGGTCAAGCACTGGTTGCAACTTGCAAAGCGCAATCGCTGTTGGGGCTCGGTTGTGGCTCGCGCAAGCCTTTGTAAGACTGGCTTGAAACTCATTATACGTCAAAGACGGGACTTGGTCCCGCTTTTCTCCCAGACGAGACATTTGCCGATGCATAGAATGATCCCATTCTCTGTTAAAGTCGAAACTGGCGGACATGGTGACGCTGTCAGGCAGAGCTTTACACTGGGCGGCGGCAGACTTTTGTTATGGCGACTGCTCTCCGACAGTGGCATGTGGGAAAGTCGCATTGGAACCCCCGCGTCTTATCAGAGATGCCTGCGAAAAACTATCACCTTTAAAGGAGATTCAATTTGCCAACAAAGCCAAGCGTACTGTCGTTTCTGGCAGAGAGGCAAATGCATGGGCAAGACGCAGCAGCGCTTCGAGCGCATCAACAGGCAGACTGGCAAGGCCTGTCTCAGGATGCCTCGCTACCTGATAGAGATTTTGAAGCACGCCTTCCACCGTGCCTCCGAGACTGTGCATTCGTGCATGTCAGCCTGCCAGCTCGGGAAGGCAAAGAGTGTGTGTACAGCAGGGGGGCGGGGGCATAAGGCGCGTTCGAAGATCGAGTTCGCGGAATTCAGCTGGCTCAAAGCTGGTGGCGACTTTGGATTTCGTCGGCTCATAGGGTCGGCTCATAGGGCAGAACTCTCTCGTAGAAGGTTCTTTCTATGTAGCAGCTGCGTTGTCGGCCACTTTTTGGCGAGTGGAGCGGCAAGCAGCGCAGGTTGCAACAAAGCTGAACACCCCTTGCAACCAGTGTCCTGACCAAGTATTTCGTGACCGCAGCAGCACGTTAGTAGTACGTACTAATTCCCACATACTATAACAAGTGGCTTGTTGAAGCGGACGAAAGTGTTGGGAAGGATGGTGGCTTGCAGACGGTGTGGCTTACTTACACGAAGCTCTATACGGCGACTATGATGGCTCACGCAAGACATCTCACCTCCATGATTATTTCATTTAGACTAGACAAGCCACTTGGTTTGACCATTGGCTGGGCAGCGTGGGTGCCAAATAAAGCCGCCTTTATCGGGGTTGCCCTCCGACTTTCCATTGGGTTACAATGCATAGTAACATGTACTGTCAGGTCTCTTGTACTCACCGGTGTTGATCGTGGTATTTCAGTGAGATAGCTTAGAGGGACAAATAATATGTTGCCACCCAAGGCTTGATTCCGCCTGATGATCTGCGCCACTGTTCGGGCGGTCCGTCCCGCGATGGATCCGCTAACGTTCAGTATCTGCCCACCAACGTTAAACTATCCGTAGTGTCGATCTATCCCTGTGGTTGTCTCCAGTTAGCAAGGTATGCTGGCCCGTGTCCGCATAGTATTCCTCAAGCTGCAATTCTGTGGCATCAACAGTAGCCTACCTGGGGTTGCGCTCAATGGTTGAATCCCCCCTTTCGCAGACCATGGTTTCTGCTGACTAAGACACTGACTGGCCTGTGTAACCCGTCAATTCACTGTGTTTAAAAGCGTCTGTCGCTGCGTTTACTACTCACCAAATTTCCACTGACCAAACTCCTGGTCCTTTACGCCGATTAGTATGAAGGCCGTCAACGCACTCCTCGCAAGCCTTTCTTCCAACATCACCGAGATATGTCGCGTATCGGGCATCCCCGGAGTCTCTTTGGGTGTGATTGACAATGGCGAGATTGTATACAACGCCTCGTATGGCTACTGCGACGTCGAAAACCAGATCCCGTGTAGCAGCGAAACAACATTCGTCCTTGGCTCTCTTTCAAAGGCTTTCACGTCGACTTTGCTGGCCCAGTTGGTTGCCCAAGAGAAATTGAAATGGAGTGATTCTCTCAATCAAATTTTACCCGAGTTCGAGAGAGGTGAATCTGATTTGAGTCGCCACGTCACTATTGCCGACCTGCTGTCGCACCACTCTGGCTTGGCAGCTTTTGACTCCCTCTGGCTGGGCTCGGACAATATTCCCCTTTTGAATCATTCCGATGCAGTCAAAATCTTGAGCTACGTGCCTCAACAACAATCCTTCCGCGGCTCATTTGTATACAACAATTTTGCCTACGACGTTCTCGGGCGTGTTATCGAGAAGGTATCTGGCTCATCTTATTCTTCCTTTCTGCGCGACCAGCTACTTGAACCTCTGGGTATGAAGAGAACCTACTACACCGATACTGCTGGACAGGTGGAAGACGAAGCCAAACCTTATGCCGCTCTGGCCGACTCGACACCTATTCGGATTTCGCCAGCGCTTGAAGGAGAAAATGTTTTGATGGGCGCAGCTGGAGGAGTTCGGAGCAGCGTCTCTGACCTTCTACTATTTTACAATGCCTTGATGGACGCTGCTGCCCACCATATGGAGGTTAACACAGTACCCAAGTATACACCCAAGAGCTATCCGCTTTCTTTGTCGCAATTGCCAGCTATGTGGACGGGATGGAACATTCTGCCAATGCCTCTCCTGCGAGAGCATTCATACGGTTATGGTTGGCTGAGAGCTCAGTTACCATCAATGCTAGCTCCGTCTCGCGGGAATCCAGTTTTAAATCCCTTGGTAGGTATCGGAGCACCATCCAGACTTGCGATCTGGCATAGTGGCGATATACCGGGATACCAAACTCATGTTACAATTTTTCCTGAGACTAACCAGGCGATTGTTGTTTTGACGAACTCTATATCCTTGAATGCCGGTTCCCGTTACATCAGCGATATAGCCATAGAGGCGCTGCTTGACAATCTCGACAATGCTCCCGACTACACAAAACTAGCCAGGATGACAGCAGATATTGCAGCTTCGAGGATGGAAAGTGTTCACACGGGACTTCTCCGTGGTAGAAAGCTGCTGCAGCCCCGCCAGCCATTGCGGGTGTACACAGGCAGGTACTTCAACGCTGCCCAAAACTTCTTCATCGAAATTTCCTTGGTCGAAAACGATCTCTATCTAGCATTCATGGGAAGAGAAAAAGATACATTCAAGTTGGTGACATATGGGGACGACAGTTTTTTCTGGTTCCTCACCCATGATGAGGCTGCTGCTCTGGCTCGCTATGATGGGTACGGGGAGGACTTCTACATCATCCGGTTTGGAGCTGCCAACGGACAGCAAGGTACAATGGACACCTTGTGGTGGAAACATGAACCGGCACTTGATGGTTACGGCGAGGCATTCGAACGACGAGGTGAGAATGCAGTTGTTGCAGGGCCCAATTCTGAGCTATAAAATGTATGGTCGGCCGCCTATAGTGCTAGTAACCCGATGCCGTGACAGGGCAGAAATCCCGCCTCAGTCTAAAATGACGAAACAATAAGAACCCTAACTTCAAGGCTCTCCCGCGCAGCAGCTGATGGCGAAGCCATGCTCTTGATGAAGGATGAGTGGGGGCAGCCTAGGGGATTTATTTTTAGCATTTAGCTCGGCGAGGGTGAAGCTATCGTCATCTTTATCTCTACTTACACTTGGCTTGGACATTTTCCTTGGAGTCAAATATTTTGAAAAGAAGAACCTCGTCCGGAGTCTGTCGATTGAGATAATACCATCGATAGCTGGCGCTCTGAAGTGGATATAGCGATTCACCTATGTAATACTTTCGTACATGGTCGACTTGTATGAGCTTCTCTTGTGGCACAGTACTTCCGTCGCAAACGGCTAGCGGGTAGTTTTCGACAGCATTTCGAATAGGTCGCCATACGCTGCGATTGCCTGTCAGCATTCCCTTCCTGGAATCACCGGGCTGCTGCACAGACTTAGTAACGCGGATTCTTTTGTTATCAAGTGTGCTAGGGTCATCACCAAGAATGGACCTGGCGCGCTTTATAGCAGCATGGGGACTCTGGTCTGGCAGCGACTGATCTCAGTCTTTAATAATTCCCATGCTCGGAAGCTGGGCGCTCCACCTACCCACATGCACGGCGTGCACCGGTTTCAGTCGTAGCATCGGGTCATTCAAGTCGATACTGGTTCCTGGCTTGGGGTCTGGTAAATTGCTCGATCGAAGCTAATCAGAGTTAGCTAGAGATCCGCACATATATGTCGACACAAAATACCGTCCAATTGAAGATGTACGTGTCAATTCCTGGTTCCAGAGACTTGAGGAGTACCTCGACTGCCGGAAGGTACTCGTTCGCGACTGTCTCCTCATTGAAGATGGCGGTTTCCAGAGCATGATTCACGATTTGAAATCCATTACGGTCCAGGTCAAACTCCGCCTCCTGACCTCGCAAATCATGAATTATTTCTGGTGATCCAAGACCGAGCTCAAAGTTTCTCTTCTTCAGTCCAGGTGGGACTTCGGACAGGACCTCGTACGGTTTCTGCGTTAAGAAGAGGTCCGAATCCTGAATGTAGTTCAGCTGCGAAGTTTCATCCTCAACGGTGTTTCGGCCGTGATGATTCATAATCGTACGTGATACAGCTGTCAAGTTTTGAGCTGCTAATTTTCGTTCACAGGAGCCGTAGTGAAAAACCCAGACGCAACACTGAGTGTGCGAAATGAAACGGCTTTCTGGTTCGAGGCAGACTCCCTCTCAAGTGAGGGATAACCGCAGCCTCGGTAGCCCTTGTTTATGTACTCAAGACCGGCCTTTCTATCACGTGGCTCGAAAATATTTACTAATTATAACTCCTGGATTCTAAGAGGGTAATATTGCCAATATTTATCACCATTGGGCTGTACGATGCGGGTGTGGCAGCAGCAGCTAGTATTCACCACGGGTTTTTGCCACAGCGCTTTCTACTTCTGTCTCTTTGAGTTTCAGTCAACGCGATTGCGGTAATACCTCTGTACCTATATGCATTTTCCGGATGCTCTGACGCAGACCTTATCTGGCCTAAACTTTTCAGGATGTCGCAACTTGATTGTATTCACGACTGTAGAAATGTAGAACTGGCGCATATGCAAGGATATTGCCCACATTTATGGCATTTACCACCAGGTGTACCACTGGAATCTGTTGCGATCCCAACAATTATACAATCCTTGCGCTGTACCTTCACGGAATCAAGCTGATGATCAGTGAAGAATCTCTTCCAGGGCTGCTCTCTTTCGTCATGGCTCGCCTGCCCCGTTTTGTCAAGTGGATTCTGAGAATGAGACATCTCAAGACGCTGCAGAATATCAATCAGGTTATGACGAGGAACTCTGTAGTTGAAGCCGCACCTACTGTAGATCTCAGTTCCAAATCGCGAATTTGAAACTGAAAGCGAATTTTGAACCGCCTTCATGGAGATGGACAGGTATAAATTACTCAAGGCTTCGTTGTGGAAGGATCTGGAATGGAAGCACGTTTGATGCTGCCAGGATGAGTCTCAAAAGTTCCTGGTGTGGCTATATCAAGCAGCGCCCGAGATGCACTTGCCAACTCCATTATTAGCCGTGGTGCGTTGAAGATGGAGGTGGTGTCGTCAGTTATTATGATACGTGCAACTCAGCCTATGACGACCCCGAAGACCCATAGATGCCGGACGCTGCCTCGAATCACAAAGTGACGTGCCGATCAGAGCTTGGTGTGTGGTATCCGAGCCTAATTTGTTTATGCTCATGGAGCAGTCTTGCGGTCGGCTGACTCTATCATGCAATGCAAGTGTGCCAGATACGACATACTAGTACATGCTGCGTACCACATACTAGTATCCATGTAATAGGACGCAGACAGTACATCAGCAGGAATCTGCACAAAACAGGTTCATCGCACGCGATCGGCTGATTGCTAACCCCCCGCTTCATAGCGTGGCCAAGGTTCTATTGTCTGGTTGATGCTGTCTGCAGTATCTTATCATTACAACCCTTTTTAATAGACCTAAGAATTCATAAAAGATCCTAAAGACTACGCAATGAGAGAGAGGCCCTAGACCTCTCCCACTAATATCTCGCTCAAAATAAACAGAGTGCTTTATCTAATAGTAAATAGATGTGTATAAGACTGTTATTCAGGATAGAGCCAAGCATAAAACACCATGTAGGGTAGAAAGAAGCGGCATCAGTGCAAGTGGGGTCTCTATTACGTCTCTAGTATTATGAGTGAACTTGGACTCTGGCTCTTGTGTTTTGTTTTTACATTTATAAAGCAGCGTTGTCGGCAAATGTTGAAGGAAGGCAGGTGAGCAGGCTCTTGAGCTTTTCCAGCACAGTTTGCTGCTTGGCAACGTCGTTGACTGTCGTCTTGTCGCTGGCGTCACCAATGCTAACCGAGATGTAGCAGCCCTTCTGGTCATGGACGTGGTGCTCCGTGGGCAGCCGGCTGCTACCGCACCATTCCACATCCTTGGGCGAGAAGATACCCGGGTTGATGCGGCTCAGCACCCACTTGAACGCCGACGCGTTTGGGCAGGCGTCGTCGACGTCGGGAAAGTTTACGTTCAAAAAGACGTCGTCCGGCAGGTACGGCCTGCCCGCAGCGACGAGAGTGTTGGTCAGGTTTGCAGCGAGCTGCGCGTAGACGGTGCTGGGCTCGGGGACGGGATACGTGTCCCAGCGGAGGCGGCCATTGTCGGCGCCGGAAAAGGCGAGGGCCGGGATACGCGCGGTGTGGGCGGCGTAGGCGGCGGCGCCGACGGTGCCGGAAAAGGGCACGGCGAGCCAGATGTTGGCGCCGACGTTGGGGCCCGACACGGCGAGTTCGGGCGCGGCGCCGTCCCACAGCTGCGGACCGAACGTGTCGATGCCGTACTTGATGGCCGTTACCGGGAATGAGTTGACCCAGTTGAGGTCGAGACGGGTCGCGTTGTGTCCGACCGGGCCGGACCTAGGCGGACACGAGTCGTACTCGCAGGCGTCCTTGCGGTCGGTGGGCGGCTCATCGCGAGAGGCTGCCGAGGTCAGTCTTGGACGTGGTATGGACAAGGAGAGGCGGGGGAGGGAGACGCACAGCTGCCAGACTTGTCCTCGGCAGGGCAGGACAGGACCGCGTCGTGGCCAGAGGCGCGCAGAGCATCGTGAAAAGAACGTGCGTAGAGCTCGGCCCAGCCGTCATCGTTGCCCTGAACGATGCGAATCCCCTGGACGGCAAGGCCCTGTAGGAGAGTGAGGGCGATGGCGGTCTTCATAGTGGCGGGGACAGAAGGACAAGCCGTCGGCAGGGGTTTGGGCGATGCTGGTCGACAAAAGAAGGACTACAAAACTTGCGCGCAGCCAGAAGCGAGTCGGGGAGGTCAAAGGTTTATTACGAACAATCCACGGGATCAAATAAAGCGCATCCTGTCTGTGCAGTGCCGAGGCCGCCCGTACTAACCAAGTAACTTAAGCTAAGCTATGTAACCACCTATCACAACCACTAATAATAGCGGCCATCACCACCTCATCACCACCACCATCACCGACACACTTTTCCAGAAAAGGTCAGTGCAGGGTGCTCGGGATTATAAAACCCCCTTTTCTATTAACGTTACCGACTGCCCACTCCCAGTGCCATTTTTAGATGGGCTTTGACAAGATGTAAATTGCTCAAAGACCCTTGCAGATAGATGCACCACCGGGAATAACCTCCGCATTAACACAAGAATAAGGGATACTAGACCGGCTTGGCCAACATCCCCTGACAATCGCCATCTGGCCATTTATCAATCGGGCAGGAACTTTTAGGCCGATAAACTCAGGTGTAATGTCGTAGCAGCGTTGGTTGTACTTTACCAATCAATTGCCGATTCCGTAATTACCCTCCCATCTTCATCATTGCTCACTGTGACGAGTCGCGAGCCCACAGCATTCTCAAGTTGGCCGCCTCATCACCAGCATCACAACATCGCTGAATTCAATAGCCAGCGGGACTAAACAGGCCTCTTTGTGAACTGCTGGATACCTCTTTCCTTTCTCCTTAATATGGCTGGCGGTAGCTCCATAGAATGATGCTTGAGTGATTTTTGCGTTCTGCGACATTTGTGCTGGTTTGTCCACTTCGAGGCTGAGTTCGTGATCCAGGGAACTACTGTATTGATGTCTTGAGAAGTAGAAAGCCACTTATAAATATCTGACAACTATCCTACCTCTATTCTTATTGATTCATTTTCCCCAGACATTGAAACGATGCTATCTACTGCGATTATTCTCGTGCTTTATGTGCTTGGTGCTAGGGCTGTCCTCCATCGCTTCAACTTCACCCTGCATAGCGATTTGCGATCTCCAGGTTTGCCTGCATTCCCTACTCTTATTTGCTCGAGAAATTAATCTTTCGCACAGATGGATACGAGCGAGAAGTATACCTCATCAACGGGCAACAGCCAGGCCCATTGATCGAAGTCGATGAGGGCGACGATATTGTGGTCCACGTCCAAAACGACCTCCAAGTCGAAACCACGTTTCACTGGCATGGTGAAGCCGGTCTATCCCTGGCCACAATTGGCAACGGCTGATACGATTTTACCACCAGGACTTTTGCAGCGAGGAAGCCCCGATATGGATGGAGTCCCAGGTGTTACGCAGGTAAGCGTCGATTTTCTTGCCCAGGTTGGAGCTGCAATGCCAAGGTGACGTACACTTACCCTATATAGGACCCGATTCCGCCGGGCGGAAATTTTACGTATTGGTTTTCGACTAAATCCGAGTACGGATTCTATTGGTACCACTCGCATTTCCGAGCATACTACAACGACGCGATCCGAGGACCCCTTCTCATCCGGCCAGCCGCGTGGCGCCAACGCCCTTTCGCGGCCAGAGCTCGAACTGACGGGGAGAAGGCGGCGCTTCTTGAAGCCGAGCGACAGGCGACAAATATCTTATTAAATGATTGGACACATGAGCTCTCCGACATCATATTTGAACGGTATAGTAGGACTGGCGCCTTCCCATCCTGCGTCGACAGTATCTTGGCCAACGGCCTTGGTAGAGTCCAGTGCCTCCCAGAAGACGTGCTCCGGGCGGGGCCGCAGCCGGATATGCCGACTCGTGAACAAGGTAGAGCTTCTGTTCCGGAGCCGAATACGTCAGAAATGCCAACTACGAATGCTTTGAGCCCTCGCGGCTGCATGCCGCCCGGCATGTTCAACCCCGGATTCAACATGAGCTCGTTGCCACCCGAGGTCTGTGTCAATACGACTTCACCTCTTCTAACAGTCTCCGCAAACCACACCACAGGTTGGTTGGCGTTGAATTTTGTAAATTCGGGTGCAGTCAGCGCTTTGAGTGTTTCTTTGGACGGTCATTCTATGTTCGTCTACGCTGCAGATGGCCTCTATGTCGAGATGCAGGAAGTAAAGGTACCGTGTTTTGTTCTTTTACAATTTTCTCAACTAACTTGATCTAGGTACTTCGGATGGAACTGGGCCAGCGATATTCGGTCATGGTTAAACTAAACCAGCGACCTGCCAGCTATTATCTCAGGTTCGCGACCTACCCAAGCGGCGATATGCAGCAAGTCTTGGAGGGACGTGCCGTTGTATCCTACGCTGAGATACCCACGGGTGGCATTGTAGATGATGCTTCTCAAACCTGGATGTTCATCAACGGATCCGCCAAACCTGGCGCCGCGCGACTCACACCCCAGGGCCTCGCACCATTCGAAAAGAAGAGCAATGCTCCGCCAGGCGGGCGAGCCGATAAAACCTTATCGTTCGTGATCAACCAAACAGATATCACGACTTGGGTACTCGATCGCGCACCGTTCAAAGAGCCGGAGATACCTGTCATATATGGCAATGCGTCGTCTGGTTGGACCTCGAATACGACAATGCACCTGCCTCTCAACTCCACCGTAGATATTATTCTGAACATAGCGAGCGATTCAATGGACACGGTAAGCTATACAGCCATGGAAAATATATCTCGATTTACTGACTGCGAAAAGATGGGCCACCCACTGCATCTTCATGGTCACAAGTTTTGGGTCCTCGGCTCTGGCACTGGTTCATTTGCGTTTGAGTCTGTTCAAGATGCGCCTACAGGGATGTTGAATGTCGTCAATCCGCCATTTCGCGACACAACAGGCTTGCCTGCGCGAGGCTGGGCTGTCATACGGTGCGTCTCTTGTCCGCCAAATTTGGAGAGGCCATTTGTGACTGACATTTCTCGTCAGCTATATAACGGACAATCCCGGGGCGTGGATATTCCACTGCCACCTACAGTGGCACGTTGTTGTAAGTGGTCATGTAGCAAATTTGACATGACGCAACTGACAGTCTGTTCGAGGTTGGTATGGCCGTGGTTCTTGTTGAGGGCCAGGACCAACTGCCAGCTTTGGTAGGGAATTACAGCAAAAGTACACCCCCGGTCCGAAGTGGAGGGGAGCATACAGCTGCCGTCCCTTGCGACAAGCTCCGGTTTCTAGCCGCTATCGTAGCCGTCGTTAGCGGATGTTGTAGGGGTTGGCTTATACATAGGTAGGTATTAGTTGACAAGTGGGCTCTCGCTGGAATTGGAAAGTTGTTAGTGTATCAAGTGAAGAATTTGATTTTGGTTGGATGGTGATGTAGGTAGATAAACTGGTGTGAGTCTTGTTGAGTAATTAACGAGAAGAAAAAGACTCAACTTGAGACTTGAAGAGAATTCGTCTAACAAGTACGACCAGCCAAAACGTGGAAATCATTTTTTCAAGTTGCAAGGAGACAATGTCATCATGATCTACAGCAACACAACCAGGCTGCGTTCGAGGCAGCCAATTGTTCCACGCGTGCTGAGACTTTTCGTGGTACGTCGGGTATACGGCACGTCAAAGAAGGAGTGGTACGGAGCCTTAAACGATAACTAAAGACGGGCCACAAGGCTGGGTCATCTCGTTCAAGTTGCCCGCCTTGCCGCCGTTGCTCCAAGATAGCGGGCGGTCGGCCAAACCCAGGATTAAATCAAGGCCATCACACCGAGTATTGTTTGCCTGGATGAGTCTGTGACCAATTGGACGTCGGGTTGTGTCTGTTGATCGTTGCCGACCTTGTGTGTTCTTCAAAATGTCGCCGAGGAGGTTGAACTCTTTTAGATGGATGACAAGGCTTTTCTTTGACTTGCAGGTGGCAGGTGGAGTCGAGATAAGTTTGACGAGTGCAAAAAGTCCATTCCTGACAAGCAGAACCTGATTGAGAAGTAGAGAGCTACAAGACTTGTGGCGTCGCAGTGGCATCGTCTTCAATCAGCGGGCATATTCTGCGCCCTTGTCGAAACAACCACAATCCTAGATCAGGGTAAATGAAACAGTAGATTCGTTTCTATTTGTATATACTGAATTGATAACTACAGAGAGTACCGCCAGCCTTGTCCCATATTTCCCCCTTCTCGGGCTTCCTGCTCGCTGGTCTCCTTGCGTTGCAACCTCTTGTTCAGCCACAAATACTGTGCATTAGACACCGCTGCGAAAATCAGTCCAATCGAGGCTAAGCTAAGGATGACGGTGAATCCAGTTCTGTATAGCGGAGCATCATGTGCTTGGAAGACTTGAGCACCGGCAAGGCCGGCGGTGTTCACAGTCATGATTAGTAGAGCCATGGTGATGGAGCGCTCTGCAGGGCTGCGAATGTTGACGGCTAACCAGGAGCCGTTGAGCGGATGTATTATAGATCCCCAAAGAGCACTGCAGATGAGGATTCCGTACTTGAGATCGCGATTGGTACTGGTAGCAAGTTGTCTGGTCGCAAGCTAGGTATGGTTAGCCTTCCCTCCTGGTCTTGTGTGGACATGTTGACTTACACAAAATGCAAAACTTAGCACAGATGCAAAGAAAATCAGACCACCTCTCTTGCCAGTCTTGTCGGCAATCCAACCAAATGAAAGACTAAGCACGATGACAATCCAGTTGCCAACCGACGCCAGTGCATTTGCCTGAAGGCGATCGTAGCCGTAGCTTGCAATGATTGAAGGCTGGTATGTTCCCAAGGGGGATATGACGGCAATGGCGCAGAAGGACACGGTCAATTGAGGATAAATGTTCCATCGAGTAAAGGCAGCTTTGATGTCGGTCCACTTGACGTATTTGTTCTTGGCCTCACCGGCAGGATTGTCCCTGGTAACCCGTTGAGTCAGGATATGTATCTCTCGTGGTGTGAAGTACAGGTGACCAAGAATGTTTGAAGGGTTATCCGGTGAATTAGGCATTAGAAGACCAAAGACTATGCCGACAACAATAGTCAACATGCCTTCGATCAAAAACATCCATTGCCACCCCGATAAGCCACCAATACCTCGCATTTGAAGGATGCCGTATGCGATCAGGCCACTTGCCGCCGACGCAAACATGTTTCCGAAAAAGAAGGCAATGAAGCGACGGCTGGTCTCGTTGCGCTTGTACCACCGCGTCAAGGTGTACAGGCCAGCAGGAATGAATCCTGCCTCGAGAAGACCCAGTAGCAGCCTGGTAACGTAGTAGACACCGACTCCCTTGCCCTTTTGAAAGGCTTGAAAGGTGGCCACCAGACCCCAGCAAATGATCTGGCAGCTGATCCATTTTTGAGGCCCAACACGATAGAGAATGAGGTTGCTGGGTAGCTCGAGAAGAACGATTCCCAAGCTGAGGAGTTGATTGCCGACATTGAACTGAAACTGGGTGATTCCAACTTCCTTCAGGAAGAAGTCGGTGAGTGCGTTGCCGATGTTGCCGCGATCTAGCTGCAAGACGAAGAAGCCAGCAATGAGAAGAGGCATAATGAGTAGGTCTAGCTTCCTGACGATAGCCTTCTCTTCAGCCTCAGACCAGTCTCTGCTGGGAGATTGAACCGACGCTTCCGACTTTTCGTCGACACTGGCCTCGGTCGCAGCTACAGCGGCGACTGCGTGTGGGAAAAGGTCCTTTTCGCTGGACATGATGGGGGATTGAGATTAGGCGGCTCGGTGACTTGACGACAATCTGCAAAACTGGCCGTGCCGGACCTCGACTTAAAATATGACATGTTTGAGGCTGGCCTCACTGTCATGGAGCTGTTCGTGATGGAATTGCGCGATTGCGCAATGCTCAATTTTCTGGCTATCGCATTTGATCTGTTATGAAGCCTCGTTGTTTTTGCAGTATACTCGAGCTTTGTTATATTAAACTTTGCGCCTCAAGATATGGGCGCGCCACAGTTTCATCAACGCTATGCACCCCCAAATCACGACGTTTGAGCAGACAACACCTAGGGCGGAAAGGAAAGCCGTTGCCATGCTGAAGAATGCTTCACCAATGAGACCATGATCCGAGCGACAGCCCGGCCGTTGCCAACTCAATAGTTTGTGTCGGGAGTGGGCTCTCTCTCACGCTTTCCAGCCGACATCTTGCGTGCTCGCGCGGCGCTGTCGAGCAGAGGAGGATGGGCCAATGAGACCATGATGCGAACCACAAAAGGTTTAGGGGTCTGGTGCCGTCCAATTCCTAGCGCGCGAGTTTCCGAGATAGACATGGACGATCGCGCTTTGTTAGTATTAATTCGAATCGCGAGATGCGACAATTGTCGAGAGAAAGTGCGATAATTGCATCAACTCTCTGCCGGCTCACAAATGCTATAACTCGTCCTCATACCCTGATTCTTGTGCTGAGTTCAAACCTTGCCTCATCTTTCTATTTCTTCAAGACTCCCCAATACCATGGCTACCACCAAACGACCAAACTTTCTCATCATAGTAGCTGATGACCTCGGCTTCAGTGACACAAAACCTTATGGTTCTGAGATCGAAACCCCGGTCCTTGATCGGTTGTCCAAAGATGGCATACGTTTGACCAACTTCCACACGGCGCAGGCGTGCTCGCCCACGAGATCTATGCTCTTTTCGGGGACTGACAACCATATCGCAGGCCTTGGCCAAATGGCCGAGGCTGCCCAAATGAAGAGGAGAGCCACCGGAAAAGACCCTTCATATATCGGCAAACCGGGTTACGAAGGCTACCTCAACTGGAAAGTGGCTGCACTACCCGAGATCCTCTCGGATGCTGGTTACCTGACCATCATGTCTGGGAAGTGGCACTTGGGCATGACACCAGATGTCTCGCCCAGCGCCAGAGGCTTTAAGAAGAGCTTTGGTTTCCTACCTGGATGCGGTAATCATTTCAACTATGAGCCCCAGTTTGACCAGACTGAAGATACCATGCTGCTTACGTCTGACGGTTTCTGGATGGAGAACGAAAAAACGATTGACAGAAAGAAGGACTTGCCGGATGACTTTTACTCGACCAATTTCTTCACGGATAAGTTTATCGATATTCTTGCTAATAGGACCGAGGCCGAGAAACAGCAGCCGTTCTTCTCTTACTTGGCCTACACGGCACCGCACTGGCCAATGCAGGCACCGGAGGAAGTGATTGAGAAATATCGTGAGTCGTGACGACAGTTGCCCTGGCGACGTTATCTCGTACATTCTGTTCTAATTGATTGGTAGGCGGCAAATACGACCAGGGGCCAGACAGGCTTAGACTCGATCGCTTGGAGCAGTTGAAGAAATTGGGTCTTGTGCCATCTGACGTTGAAGCCGCCCCTCCTGTTGGCTTTGAGTCAGGCGTTAGATGGGACGACCTCACGGAGCATGAGCGTGCCATTTCCGCGAGAAAAATGGAGGTGTACGCAGCCATGGTTGACTTGATCGACCAGAACATCGGCAGGGTGGTTGACGCACTTGAAGCTTCTGGCGAGTTGGACAATACCTTCGTCTTGTTCATGTCGGATAATGGAGCAGAAGGGTCGACATTGGAGGCAGCGCCAGTACGTCTCACCATATGCTTTGGTCCCAGTTTAAGTGAGCTAACACACAGTCAAGCTCTTGTCGTCATTCAAGACGCTCGGCGAGCTGATCGCGGCGTACTATGACAATAGCCTTGAGAACATCGGCAAGCATGATTCGTACGTCTGGTATGGCTCGAGATGGGCTTGTGCTGCCACCGCCCCCTCTCGTGGGTTCAAGGGGTGGTCAACCGAGGGTGGAATCCGCTGCCCTTGTCTTGTCCGATATCCGCCACTTCAAAAAACCCCGAATGCAATCTCGCACTCTTTCACAACAGTCATGGACATTCTTCCCACCGTTCTTGACCTTGCGCAGGTGCAGCATCCAGGAGCATCATTCAGGGGTCGCAGTGTTGTCCTTCCACGAGGCAAGTCCTGGATCAACCACCTTGCATCGCCCTCTGAGAACCCTGCCGTGCATGAAGATGAGAATCACATTCATGGCTGGGAGCTGTTTGGCAACCGTGCCATTCGTAAGGGAAACTGGAAGGCGGTTCTGTTAGCAAGGCAGGGCGGCGATAGCTGGGAGTTGTACAACGTTGAAGAGGATCCAGCCGAGCAGCATGATGTAGCAAAGTCCCGGCCTGAAATTCTGGAGGAAATGCTTGTACACTGGGCCACGTACGTCGCTGAGACGGGTTTGGTGGAAGACGCGTTTTGAGGAAGAATGATGTGATTGAGGCCCACAATGGCGCTGGGCGTGTGAGGGAGGCTACGAGCCTTGACATCACCAACCCTGAATGTATGTAGTAGCAGTTGTGGTAACATTGAAACTGTCCAAAACATTTTCCATTGCCAAAATGACGTATAGGAAGACACGGACCGGCTGCTTGCATTGCAAGGTGAGAAAGGTTAAGGTAGGTAGCTGACTCCAGACAAAGGTGGCGGACCACGCTTATCACTTCAGCAGTGCGACGAGACTGCTCCATGCGGTGCATGTATTAGGCGGGGGACCAAGTGCAATCTGAAGGCCCCAAGCCGGTCAACTTGTAACAGAAAAGTGCGCTCGCTCGAAAACCCGGTTCAGACGACCTCGGCCTCGCATCTACAACGCATCGCGCCATGCCCGACAGACCGGCTGGCAGCGGAAGACAGGGAGCTACTAGGACACTGGCACAGAGTCGCGCACAGAGCAATTGCTCATCAAAGAGGCTGTGAAGCTCTCTGGCAGCATGAAGTTACGCGTCTGGCCCTCGACCATCCGGTGATCCTGAATCTTGCGCTGGCCCTCTCATCATTCGAGCAAGCGCACACGGCGCATCGTTCACGAACGGACATACAAGCACATCGAAGGCGACGAAACATCTGCGCGGCTCGAGGTTTCCGATACTATGATGCTGCGGTTGGATTGATGAGAAGTACTGTAGCTGTAGCAAGCAGGCGGAATGGCGCGGTTTGCCATCTCGCTTCGGTACTCATGATGGTCAGCTCATACGCAGAAGGTGCAGTCAAAGAGTTGATACGGGATCAACACGAGCCATCGTCGATGTTGAATGATTTGCTCGTCACCTGTCGACTCACTCGAGGTGTCAGAGCTATTGCAGAATGCTTTGGCGTCATTTGGCCGAACCGTTCGGAGCGCATACTCTTCGTCACCGAGGCCGAAGCACCGGCTCACGGGCCTCTTGATCCAGTGCTCGAGCTTCTCGAGTCTCTGAAATTCCTGGAAGAAGAAGAAAATGCCGCGGTTAGGCGCGTCTGCCAAGCTGCACTAAATTTGATGAAGTGGTTGGTCAGGAAAGCGCAGACGTCTGAATGGTGGCCTGCACACAGAGCTTCGCTGCAATGGGCGGCTCTGGTCAGCGAAGAATTCATGCAGCTTCTGGAGGCGAAGGAACCTGCAGCGCTGGTCTTATTGTCATATGGATGCTTTTTGGCAGATGATGATTCTGGGCATAGTTTTGTGCTGATGGGCTGGAAAGGAGGTGTGTGTGCTGAGATTCGGGCGCTAGTCGGCCCGAGATGGGCCTGGGCAGTGTCCAGCTACTGTAGCTAATCTCTTATCCGACGTTTTGTTTTCTTTTCTCTTCCTTTTCTTTTTTCATAGCCAATGGCGGACAAAAGTTAACGGATGCTACATACCAAACCGATCTAGCTCAAATGTCCAACGTTGGAGCTTTTTTGTAGTTCATCGCTACGGACGGCACCAATGCGGGCCGAGGAGTTCGATTGGGCTGGTTGCAGCGAACATGGCGCCTTTGATACTCTCCGAATTGCACACCACCACTAATAATCTGGCCGCATTCATAACGTCGATCTACCAGCAGGTGGAGGTGGAGGGTTCGGTCTAACGGAGACAGGCAAAAATCGTGATCTGCTTGAGCTGTGGTTCGTGATTCCATTTACCCGCGTGCGGGGCTTGCCATCACTATTCATGGTCACCAAACGATAGATATATCCCAGCCGCTGGACTGTTTAACCATCCTTTTCATCACGTTCAACACCATCGAAGCATTCAATATTGTTAATCCTTAAGGACCTTGCCCATCTTAAAATGACGTATCTTGACCCTCCCAATCAAAAGTTTGTCGACTCCCTTGCTGGAGGACAACCACTCTACCAAAAATCATACGCGGATGCTAGGAAGGTCCTGGAGAACATCCAGAACTTCAAACCCTCTGCGGACGTATCCCAGGAGCGAACCTCGATTGACTTCAATGGCTCGCCGGTCGAGATGGTCATTTTCCGCCCGGCAAAAGCCAGCGGACCTTTGAAGTTGATCTTCTATACCCATGGCGGCGGGTGGATCTTGGGAAGGTACGTCAATTGAACTCGCCAAGGGAATTGAGTATCGTGACATTGCTAACAAACCATGACATTTAATAGCCCATCTGCTCACGGAGCTTTGATGCAAGACTTTGTGCGCCAAACCGGTGCAGCTGTTGTTTTTCCGTACTACACCCCGGCCCCCGAAGCGCAATACCCGACACAGTTCGAGCAGTCATACGGAGTACTTGAGCATGTTGTCAAGCACGGGGACAAGTACCAGCTAAAGACGGATCGTCTTGGCCTCGCGGGTGATAGTGTTGGAGGTACTGTCCCACATTACCTTTCTTTTGTAGCCTTTGGGTATACTTTAGCAATACTAACATGCATCTAGGAAATATGGCTATTGCCATGACACAACTCGCCATTTCTCGAGGCCTTCCCGCCAAGATTGGCCAGCTCGTGCTTCTTTACCCAGTCACAAACACTCAAACTAAATCTGTCACTTACAAGCAATTCGAGGATGGACCGTACCTTACTGAAAAGACAATGGACTGGATGATTAACGCCTTCCTTCCAAAAGTCGAGGATCGAGCAAGCCCACTTGCCTCACCCCTCGTCTTTGCCCCGGACGACATATTGGCCAAATTTCCGCCAACAACTATTTTTCTCTCGGGCGCTGATCCATTGATCGCCGAAGGCGAGGCGTTTGGGCATCGATTGCAAAAGTTGGGTGTCGATACAGCAATTATCAAGGCAGAAGGGGTCATTCATGACTTTGTTCTGCTGGAGCCGATTCGACATGCAGCAACTCCGCGAGTTATTACGGAGCTTGCTGGATTAAAACTTCTCCAAGCCATTGCTGATAAATGATTGGACCCATTTCTGTTGAGCGAATGCTGTCAGGTCTGCCTAATACCTAGGAGTATAATGACAATTAGTTAATGGATTGTACATTGAGTTCTGCCGCTACATGGTAACTTTTCCCAGTTCGCTGACTGATTAACAACAACTACAGGGTATATTCTTTACATGCCATGTGAGTTTGTAGTCGCCGACAACTCCAAGTTGAGGTAATAAATTCCGATCCTTGTTAGACAGTGCAAGCATGTATTAAGTTAAACTCCAGTACCACAAGCACCACAAAGTGTCTCGCCAACTATCCACGTACACCTCGTAACAATCAGCAAACAGGCAGACTCGGCACAAGCAACGATAGCTACCGTAATGCGCATCGATCTTCTCAAAATGTGATATGCGACTGCCACCAAACTCACCTTTGCTTTGCCTCGTCACCGTCGCTCTGGTGGCGACGGAGGTTGAGGGGCGGAGGGGCGGGGA